GTCTTCTTTTTATTTTCCGGGAGCCATTCCAATCAGGTAAACTCCTGACTTGACTTTCCGACTACTTTACTACTTTTAATACAGCCATTGCAATAATTATCTTTGATTTTTTAGCATGGCTTCCTAAACAGGCAAACAAAAGTTAGTGGCGCCGAATGTTACCACGTCTTACCATAGTCTCTCCGTGAGCAGCCGCAGCCGTATGGTTAGGGCTGTTAGTTTTTTTTTATTTTGGTTTATTTTTCCCCATTTTTTGGGCCCTTGACCACGTTACAGTAAGCTTGTGAGGCCAGTTGGTCTCGTCCTACATATATGGCAAAGACTATCCTCTAGTCTTCGATCATGGTCATTGTATTAGTATGATCTGAAAACACGAACAATATTTCCTTTTTGCCTCGCTAGGGACACATGCAGATGCAAGTACCAGGACTCGCCGTATTTGATCGTTCCTTTGATAAACAGTAGAACACCAATCCTTTATGGAAAAATAAAACTATGACTATGGAATAATTCATCAAACAATATCCTTTACTTCTATAATACACAATGGTCCTGAATTAAAATGTTATCTTTGCATTCATTATTATTCGAATGTATTTGGATGGAATAATCGAAGGTGTCACTTCAGACGTACACACATAGGTATATCAGAAAAAGGTAAAATTGCCATGTCACCTCTCCTTCGTAGTAAATACCAGTAGAAATAACACTAGTTTACTTATATCATTTACATTACACACATTATTCAAAAGACGCGCACGATAAAAGCATGAAACTACGAATCCAAATTAAATTAAGTACAACGGAAAGCAAACATGAAAGAACTCACTAATTTCCATTCTGTTATTAAACCTATGTTTTATATATTAAAATTTTTGGGACTAAGTCCATACCGTTTCATAAGCGATACGTATGAGAAATCTTTCGTATGGATGACATACAGTTTTTGCATCCTAATATTTTACGTTGTTTACGGAATTATAGACGGTCCAGAGAGGAATGGAACGGAAGTATTTACGGATGCTGTGATAACTTATTCAGACTTATACTCAAGTCACTTGGGAGTTATTTGTGGAATATTGCTTCAACTCATCTTTATACACTCTGTAAGTGCCGAAACCCAAGTCACCCATTTGACCATCTAGAATTTCAGCTAATTGAAGTGATTGACAGTATAAACATATTTGATATGTACGCAGAAAGTATACTTGGAATTAACTTGAAAGAAAAGTACAAGCAAGAGCGGTGTAACATTATTTGCGCGTTGATGATTGTAATGAGCTTTATTATTTTTTCATTTTGCACCACGCTTGTATTCATAAATTCCGAGATAGGTTCTTATACAGGTGATGTAATTCGTGAGCTTTCAAGCTTGGTGGTGCCCACAATGATAAACGTTGGAGTCATATTTCAATTTTGTGCGCTTGCTTCTGCCTTAAGGCATAGATTTGGTTGGATAAATGACTATTTGGTTTCTTATCCGGAGCATTTGGCACATTCAACTCGCGATAAGTACGCGAAACGGTAAGATTATGAGATATTGTGTTTTATATTACAGTAACGTACAAGAAGACCCCAGTAAGCTGTTTGAGCGAATACGGATAAAACATTTCGAACTGTGTGGTATTTGTAAAAAACTTAATGGGATATTTACCACTCAAATTCTGTTGATAATTATTCAAAATTTCGTAACAATAATGGCGAGTTTTATCTACGCGGGAAGACATTTACTTAAACAGACAAAGTTTAAAGTGCCCTATTTTTTATATTTAACTCTTCAATTTTTATTGTCGTTTGCACAGATAATGACTTTGGTAGTTACTTGTTCATTAACAGTTCAGCAGGTAGGTCTTTGTCGTGTAATATTAAAACACTCTTAATTTTCCTGGTAACCCATCAGGCGTCACAAACAAGTATTTATATCCACCGAAACACATCAAGGATTAGAAACGTCCTGCCTATACAGCTGCAAAAGGATTTCATCTGGGAGGTGGGTCCAGATTTATTTAGAGGTGTCACTCATCGTATACTTGTCTTATTTTAGGTATTTTTCTGTTCTCTACAGTTTTTCCACCAACGGATCGAATTTACCGCATGTCGATGTTTCCTAATTGACGAAACTCTGATATTTTCGGTAAGTATAACTAATATTTTTCAAGAAAATAGGTTATGCTGTGTTATTATGCTTATATACCTAGAAAGTGTATTTTCGATTCTATAATAATACCATTCTTAAACAGAAATACCGAACATCGGTCTCAGTAGTTAATCTGGGACTATCCAAAAACGAAAACATGGTTTCCTTTTAGAAAACCTTTAGTTTGATTCGAAAATTTTAGGTGTACGTTTAGTTTGAGATTCTCTTCCACTTATGGCTCATTTCACTCAAGTGAATATAAGAAAGTTTTTTTATGTGTAAAACCAACGGAACGGGAAACTCGGAAACCATACCAAACTCTCGACCGTTCCTAGTGTAGATGTTTAGAAAACCGTTTTGAGTGAAATAGCGAACAACTTTTACTAATAACTATCAAATCGTTACAGGTAGCAGGAGCAGTCACCATGTACATGGTTATAGTATTGCAATTTCAGCTGATAGATCAATGAACGCTTACAGAGCTGCAAACGTAAGAGTTGAATATCCTTAGGATGAACCATCATATTGTATAGTTAAGATAATAAATATGGTGTTAAGCTGTTGCCACTTATTACTACCCTACCAAGAGCTTTAACCATATAAAGGTAAGTGAAGTGTTCTGCTGTGACGCATCTTCATACAGTTTTCGAAAACCCTCTCTATAATCAATTTTCATTCCAACCCTTACTGCTGGTATTTGGCCATCATCAATACATACGTACTGCTTTCCCCGCCAGGTTTTGGGTTTTACTAACCTCTAAGTGTAAAGTACAAAACAAATTGACAGGCGCATCCATTACGTTCCCTATAAAATTGGATGCGTTTGTGTTCCAGTCGTCTATTATCACTTATCGGACGTACTATGTGCAAGGGCGCCCATACTCGGGGGCAGGGGGGGGCCACGGCCCCCCCCCCTGGCTTCCAGAATAAAAATTATGCTGCTTCTCAATAAAGAAAAAATGTTGTTATACAGTTAGTATACTCCATCTGGAATGCGAGGCGGCAGGCGGGTGAGTGTGCGTGTGTCTCTGTCCTGTGTCATGTGTCTCCTCAGGGTGCACAGACTTCGATCCAAGTCGCCTGGATTTGAGGAAAAGGTCATGGATAGATTTGGTCAAAAAAAAAGAAATTTACAATTTGTTTTTTCAACAAACTATTAGTTTTATGTGAATTGATCAATATTGATTGTTGAATTACATGTTTGGTCTAAAGAAAATAAAAGTATGGGCAGTTTGTGTTTTAGAAAAAAATGTTATTTTTCTCTTTTTAGTCATGTATAATGTTGAATTGTAAGTTTTTTGCCTAAATACAGGTTACCTGTTACCAGGTAGCGTTTATTTAATGCGTGTTTAATTACTGTTGCTAACCCAATTTGAAATTTAAAAATGAAAATCTACTCTAAATTGTAATCTCCTTTTCAACATGTATTAAAGAAACTAACTTTTATCTTTGCGCTAATTTCACAATATTATTGTAAATGTATGAATAAATTTTAGTCAACAAAATATGGTAAACCATAATTCCAGAACGCTTAAAGACGCTTTTTAGGGGTGAACTTTTCAAAAATTTTTTACCGAAATTTTTCTATTGAAATAATATGTTTTATTTTTCATTTGCCTATTATATGTCAATTATATCTGTCATATGTGATATATGAAGCAGTCTATTACGACCAAGGGCATAATGAGAGGGCATAATGGATTGTCATCTCATTATGCCCTCAAACGGCCTGTCAAATTGATTCATGGAGTTATATTATGTAATAAAAAAGATGCAACTTGATTCGTATGAAGCACTTTAATGTTGGGCAAACAATAATCATTACATTTGTATATTGGAAATGCATTCTTTGGAACGATGAAAAATAAAATGTTGTATGCACCTCAGGCATTACTCAATATTTAACCCTCGGGCGACTTACAATCCCTCGGGCCAGAGGCCCTCGGGCTCTGTCGCCCTCGGCAAAAATACAGCTAACCCGCGCAGCTCTGTACGATGAAAAAAAAATAGATTTTTCCTCCCCTTGAAGAAGAGGTGTTTTTTATCGAAAATGAAGAACATCCCGGAAACAGCTCAACTTTACAGGACTAAATAATTGTCTCCTTTTTTATCAGAAAACAAGCTATGTTTCTTAAAATTTCAAACCTCTACCTCTCATAAAATGAATAGTTTTGCCACAAATTGCAAAATCCCACTTTCCATCCCTTTCAACCGCTGGGATTTCGCCCGCGGAAAATTTCAACTGTTTTGATTATTTTTCCTCAATTTGCAATCATTTCACCTGCATAAAAAACCCAGTTTGAACCGGTAACTAATTTTTGTGTCAAAAAATATTATATAGTCTGGACTAATTTCCTTTCTAGAAAATGCAGAATCACATTTCTTCGACCACACTGCTTCAAATACTGTTTAAGTAATTTGCGTAAAAGTGCTGTTAATAGTTGATAAATCTGAAAGATAATATGTTATCATTCCAAGGAATCAACGTAATTCAGCAACATCTCTTGGTTGGGGCATCTGAATTATCGCTTTAATCTTAGAGGGCGATTTTGCAATCGTATTTTGTTTGACCACATATCCTAAATACTCGATGTCTTGTTCTTTGTTATCGATTTCAGTCAGCTCAACTCCTAGGTGTCGAATCCATGTTGTATACCAAGAAGAGCATCGAAACTCGATGGTGCAATGAATGCCGTTTCAAATGTTGGATTATGATTGCGCCTGTACTGGACACAAACTTGGACTTTTCAATACGGTTGGAAAATCTGTTTTGCGTATGTACGAAACACTAAATTTGAGGGTTCTATTTGATTTTTGTACTTTTTTGTCGAAAACTTCTTTTGGTATGAGTAAAATCTGCGCCTGAATCAACCTCAAACTGAATTTGTTTATCTTCTACTAATACATACGTATAATACTTCCGCGCGTCATCTGCATTGGATTGTGTATAAACGTCCTGGATTTCAAGTTGATTAAATTGTTCGTATTCAAGATTATACATTTCTTGGAGACGATCTTGCACTCCCGATTTTGCCCTCATTCGAGACCAAGGTCTTTGTAGTCAACTCTTCCATATGGCTTGTGCTTCGTGTTATATGTCTTCGGTTCCTATTTTGGTCCCCATTGTAATCTTTTGAATTATTCCTTGGTACGTCATTACAATTTGACACCGATTTCCCTTTATTCCTATTGCGTATGTTCTTCTGGCCGTGTTGTACCTGGTTGGTTTCATATGACGTCTCATGCTGCGTAGGTATAAAGTTATGGTTTGTTGTGGTTTTCAAGAGGTTTCGCCTATCTGATCTAGCAACTTCTAGAGCAATTGCCTTCGTAACGACACCTTCAAATCCTGTAAATTCAGACTGTAAGATTTGTTGGGTAATCCACTGATCCCGAAGTCCACGAATAAATTGCGCTCTAAGAACAGTAAAAAACAGACAACAAATTTGAATAATAGACCAAGCATCTAGCACTCACACTGATAGATCTACGAGTAAATTTTGGATCGCTTTCTGGCTGTTTATGTAGCCCGGAATGCGTTCTTCTAGATGCTTTGCAATGCCAGAATCCGCGGTGGCATTTATTGTCATATTTTCAGAATACGTAGAACAAGCAGCGAATTCGTCATATTGTTCTTTGATACATAATATGTTAGTTTACGTTAATTATTGGTTATATTATAACCAATAATTAACATAAACTAACCGTACAGGAAAAATTTTTGCCAGGATTTTTGCAATAGAACCCCCTAACTAAACTCAACTTTTCTAGACCAAACTTCGTTTTATAATTTCTGATGTGGGGGAGTTTAAAAAGGAATTAGTTTTTTTTTATTTTATTAACTACGTCTAAAGTCATACCGTATTATCATATATTTTGAAAGCGAATTACATATACCGCTTCCCTATTTTATGTTAAGCTGTTGCTGTCGGTGCGAGGGTAAGATATTTCAAACTGCACGACGATTACTAAGTATGTAGTTATCGCCCCAAGAATCTACAACAAATTGCTTAATTTCTTAAAGAAAATCATGCATCAACGACCTACCGATAACAATAGACTCGCATCGATAGGGAACACCCCACATGCAGTAAATTGAACACTACTGTGCATCAGTTGTAATGAGAAAAGTGATGCCTGTAGATACATAGATTCGTTACAAGGTTCCTGCATTGTAACTGCGTTGTGTATGAGATCTCCAGTTTTGCGTGCCTGCAAAGCTATATACCAATTCACAGTAGTAGGTTAAAAATTATAGTGTACTGTTAATTTACTTATAGGTAGTGACACGACCATCTGAAATTATTTGGACTGATATAAAAGTTAACTATTATACTCTGAGCAACGGTCAAATTAAAAATGAAAAGAAAATATGGATAGATATGGACAAATTCAAAACCACTATCATTCCAATATCACAATATTGATAGTGCAAATTCGTGCCGTACCTATATTGCTTACCTCGGCTACCGTGCTCGTGCAAATCAACACTAGTACCATTGTTTGAACTGTTGCCAAAAATAGTTGATTACAGTAATTGTAAATTATGAAAGCAGAACTCTCTCTTTTGTGAAATATACTTTTGCCTCCAAAATATAGTGACAGAATTAAACTAATGAAATTTTGAAGCACTATCATCAAAATTTCAAGTGAATAGCACGTATTCACATCCCGACAAATCCTGCAAAGGTCATTATGTTTATTTCTCAAATCTTCAAATATGTTAAATATTTTATGGTCGGCAAGCCTTAAAGGTATCCTACAAATACTTACTTATTTACGTTCGCTTAACAAACATTGTGTACCTACATATTTGTAGCAGCCTTAGAAGTACCTCTTGAGTAAATGGTAAATAAAGGGGCATTTCGGAAGAAAAGCTTTGTAGAAATGGAGTTTATACGAGCGTTGAGTAACCTAAATCTGCTCCTCAAAGACATAACTACCGCTGAAAACTGAAATACGGTAATAGTACTGGTTAATGGTGCACCAATATTGACAAAAAGTGCTCCAAAGGAGAGTAGTAAAGTTTTATATCGCTTTAAAAACGATATACACACGATGTAATTAGCCATGAAGACAACCACAAGCGCAATTGTTCCATATATAAGAATGACAGTTTTTCTATATATTTTTACAATATCATTTTTGAATCTCCAGTGTAACTGCTTATCAAAGTTGTCAATATCTCTCACAATATTTGCAACCTAAAAATTGTAGGTAGATATGTACACGATTAGGTATGTTTAACTTTGTTACTCACCCCTCCAGCAAAGATGCATTTTATACAGATCCCAATCCAAACTCCAATATTAGCGCAATAGAAATACAATTCAGCTGTAAGTTTCGTTATGTACCCTGTTTCTGTATCTCGCTCTTTATTTATGTAGACAAATCCAACAATGTAGGTCATTAACCACACTGCACTCCATAATGTGTTTACTAATGATCGTTTATAATATGTTGGCTTTAAACAAATGGGCGCCAGTCCAAAGATTTTACTAAAATAGTACATAGGATTTAAGACGACGAAAAACGTTTGAGGGTGAAAAAGGTCAACCATTTTTATCAACTTAGCATTGCCTACTAAAGGGTGGTGATTTAGTAAAGTATATTAACAATTCATAGCCCGTTGGACGTGTTGTACGTACACATACCAAGTAATGAATTATTAAACGTATTCCGTTGTCTATTCTTTTTTATAAACCTGAAAATTTCTTCTGAAATAAATAATGGAATGCCTCTAAAAGTGTCCATAGTATGTTTTTCCATTATATCAGTTGTTCAATTATGTGTTTAATGTTTCTCGCAAATGTAGGCTAAGGGCATACAAACAAATTGTCAAAAAAGGCACCACAACGTTTATTCAAAGGAGGAAAATTTTTCTAATTTTTTTTGCAACCTCGCTGATCCGGCCACTAAAACAAGCAAACAAAGGGCGGAAAAACCGCTCGTCGAATATGAATGACATTATTAACGAGCTGCTAGCGAGTTTATAATTTTACGGTGTCTGTCCGTCCGTTAGCACGATATCTCAAAAACGAATGGACCGATTACGATGAAATTTTGCAGATGGATTCTTTACCAAATTTGTAGATCGGAGTTCGAGAATTGGCAATGGACGCCCAAAAATTAAGGAAGGACTTTTTGACATATCCGTTAGTTCTTATTTATTTATTTTATATTATTATTTATTATTAGTTATGAACCGAATTGCATGAAATTCAAAATGAGCATAGCTTTAGCCATATAATACGCAATGCCAAGCCAAACCATACCCAGGTGGGCTCGTTTGCTATATTTGTTTAATTTATTATATTCAACAGTTCTAAAATGAAATCTTTTCACAATTCCATTACCTATATATTTAGTAGTTATGATTATTCCGATTTCCGGAACGCAGCGTTGGGTTAATAATGGTGTCAGTAAAGTGGAATGTTCGAATATCAGCTTCCCAAAATGTTTTCATAAAAAGCATATACCTACAGGCTGTTTCACGCAAACCTTTACCTCAAAGTATCTCAGACTTCCATTAATAATTTAAAACTAAAAATTTGCATACCAACAGAGTTTTTCCTGATCTATCGAAAGAAAATATTATCAAGATCGTTTCACTTCCGGATGTGAATAGCAAATTTCTTATTTTAAATAGAACACCCTATATTTTATTGCATTTTCAAAATTAAATGTACATGGAAATCTTCGTCGTTGGATACCACTTTGTCCTATTTATTTATTTATTGTTCCTCTCTTGTTATGGGCCCTCAACAGGCTTTGGCCCAATTACAGAGTGACCCGCATAATGCTTTTTAAATGTGCCCCTGCAAAAAGTATTAAGTTGTTCTATACTACTCCGGTATTTACCTTACGAATTAGGAAAACTGCAGGGAAACCTAATTGGGAATAGCCGGCAGAATGCTCGAAACTTACTAAGGAAATTCCAATCTATGCCACAGATGGAAAATTCACCTCAGGTTCGAACACTCGACCTCTCCGGCTGTGTAGACCAACTTTCTACCACTGAGCCACACAGACGGTGTATACCTAGCATCAAAGGTTTTCAAGTTATCCAAGATTTTTCAACATTTTTTACGTTTGGCTGCTTTTCTTCAGGGCCTTCGTTGACTTGAATTTCAAAAAGTAAATCAACAATACTGACTTGACGCTATACGATAATGAATTCAAATTTGATCGCCCTCGATCGGGTGTTTTCAAACTATTAATCAATTTTAATAACTCCAAATCTTAAGAAGTAGATTTTTTCAAATGAAACTTGCTTTATTTTTTGTTTTGATTTTTTGTTATGATGTTCGTTTTATTTAAGATTTTCTAAAATTGTGATAGTGACATTCAAAAATGGTAGGTAAGTATTAAAGGCGGTTGCCGTTAGTGCCCATTGATCGCCTTTTACGATCTCCAGGACGGGAGTGGGCCAATTCTGTCCCCGAACCCACAGCGGGTTATTATTTGTTTTTGTGGTTACGTGTTTTTAATAAAGTATTTAGTATTTACTTTATATTGTATACCCTGACAATATAAATAAATTTTGTATTTGTCAAAAAGATCAGTTTTTTTAGTGTAGAAGCTCAAAAACATTACCTACTCCACTCATCAAATTTTGCCCATAACAGATTTTTTTTCTTGGATGTTGGTAACGTTTTTACAAAATCAAAAACCTAACCATATGCGTTTGCTTTCCTCGAGCGAGAAAAGGAAGTTGGTAAAGTTTTTAGCTGAGGCGGCAGAATGTAGATATAGCTTTTGGTATGTGTTTGATTCCTAAATATAGGTAAATGTATCCTTGTTGTGTTGTTCTATGTGGGGGCGTAAAATATTTATTGAATTTGTTTACAATGGTATTTTGCTACTATCTCAATTTGCATAAATGCCAAATGTGATACATTTTCATGACTGGAATACTGTTGTGTTGGATCTCGAAATCCTACTTTGTATGCAAATATAATACCCCTGTATTATTGTAATGAGGCAGGTCAAAAGCGGGCGCCTATAAACTCAAACCACGAACACAAACGTTATGATATACCTACCGGGTACTGACTGCAGACAGTTTGAATTTAGCGCTTAAAAAGTTAAATTTTTTTTAACTTAAGGCGTTGGCGGTCATGGTTTTCCTCAAATAGGCTTTGAGCCAAAGGGCATGTGCGATTTCCTTTCTAGGGAGTAAGTGTAACCTACAAATTTAAATTTGTCATGAAGGTAGGAGAAATGTTTGCTCTGATACCTACTTTGTAAAATTCGGTAGCTTATTGACGTTATAACGTCACAAAGATGGCCGCCTGGCTAAAATCTTTAGAATGCTTGACGAAGATTTTCACCCGGCGGCCATCTTTGTGACGTTATAACGTCACTAAGCTACCGAATTTTACGAAGTATCATACCAAACATTTATCCCTGCATTTATCCTACCTTTATGACGAATCTCAATTTGTAGGTTAGGTTACACTTACTCCCCAGAAAGGAAACCAAATCGTCCATTTTTGACCACCTGGCTCAACGCCTTAAGTACACAAATCACAGTAACAACAATACATTGACGTCGGTTTCTTTTCGTGTCTCTATACCACCATAGAGTAAATACTCTATGATACCACGAACCTTGCATTTTAAAACAAAGTTCTTTTCAGAGCTCTTTCAAGTGCGACATTTTGCAAAGGTACGTAGTAACAGAAAACACTTTATAAGGATTACATAACCCCCAGTTTTTAGTTAAAATCGAGAATGGCTGTTACTTGTGATCATGGTGCGCTTATATTAATGGCGCACTATCGTAGCGCAACGCGTTTAGAACATGGTAGATTATCATATTCCCCTAGGTCCTGCTTTCACGAAGAATATACTGACCACCACTTCAGTTAGTCATAAATACCGAATTATCGTAAGTTTGGGAATAAGAAATGTTGCCAAACCAACAAGTCGTCCGTCTGTCCGAAAATTATGAAATGCAATTTGGAAAAGAAGTAAGAAAGTAAAGGTATTCAATAGGTCTTTTTTTCATTTTTATTTTATTTATGTTCGCCGATCTTTAGAATGGCCCACATTCTCAAGCAGCTCGTTTCAACAACACAACGTAGGTCCTGTGACTAGACAGGTTTGTTATTTGAGTACGAGTGTACGAGTTTTTGGTAGATTTCATCAAGACAAATATTTTGTGCATTTAACATTATGATGCTTACTTTTCAACAAAAATGCAGATTTAGAAAAATAAAATAATAAATAGTTACACTTTTCAATTCAAAAACAAAGAAACCCACAAAAAAACTGAACTTTTTTGTAGAGTTTTTTTCAGCCACTTTGGTCAGTGTAGGTATGCAAAAAAAATGAAAAAAAAATTTTAAGCCGTCAGGGCTTTTTTAAACTTTTGACGCCCTCAACACCCATTAACATGATGCGGAACAAAACCAAAATAGGACGTTTTTGATTCCCCATACCAGCCTGTATGCACCCCAGATTTCCTCGGTTCCTCGTATTCACAAAAATCGAACCACACACGCGCGCGCACGCGTGGAAAAATATGAATCTAGGCTTCGTATCAGATGAGAGCTTCAAAAGCGGAAACAAAAACATAAAAAAAAAGTACAATAACTCTTGTTTTTTTGTCTTTTTTTCGTATTTATGTTTCATTTTTGTTACTTCAACAGCTTCGGTGTTTCCCAGCTCACCTCCGTTTTGTTGTGATCTTTTAGTGTTATTAAGTGTTTTTGTTCCTGTGCTTCACATAGGTATGAAGATCTTTTATTTTTACGATAATTATATAAAAAAAATTGATTGAATACCTTTATATCAATTTCTGTTGAGACTGTTCGTTATAATGCTACACGGCGATAGGTCGATGGGTCTGCAAGTGCTTTGGTCATGGGACCACTATTTATTACCTTTTGCTTTTGCATCTCTATATTTATAATACAACCCTAGTGAGTGGAACTTTACAAGAATCTCCATTTTTGTTATTATCTAGGGGACAATTGCTTTAGTTTACCAACAAAAAGAGGAATGAGAAGAATATCTATAAAAGTATTTATTTGTATCTTGTACTTTGCCAATAAACTAAAATGTACTAGGTATACCGGTTACGAGGTGCGTGTTGTGAGACAAATAGTTTCTTTTCTCTTCAACAGAAAAATAATCCGAATATGGGCTATCTCTAACCAACATTCCTTGTGACGATACAACTACGGCTCTCACAAAAAGCCTGTACCTTTTATGCATGTCTAATTTGTGGTTTTTAAATCCACCATGAACTCCCACTCCCAATATAAAAGCATAAGGGATCTTAAACGAAAACTTTGCTGCTATATACGGTGCGTCTATATCTTCATCATCAAACCACTGATTATCTAATAGGTCTTCTGTTTTATACATAGACGATGGTACGTCGCTTTCTGCATCATCTGAGACGGGAATAACAACTAAATAGTAATAGTTTATGGGACCGTTCTCTTCTGAAGCTTTCGGAAGCAAGACTTGGATATTGTCTCCATGTATAATGCCGTATATGGTCGGTTTCTGCATTGATCCAGGTGCACCAATTTCCGTTCTTGCATTTACTCGAACAGCAGGGCGATAAGATAAATCTACCGGCACCGCGCTGATATTTACAAAGTAGTTCGTGTAAGGCATCAAATCCACTAATTCGTATGACGTCAAGTGGTGATCAATTACTATCTCAGTTTTATCTAAGGCGTAATGCTGTCTAATTCCGTCAGAATCGATATAATCCTTGAGTGCGTCGTACGATATTTTGTAATATTTCGGGAATAAGCGTAGTGGCGGAGACCATTCCAGAACCATAGAATCTGCGGTTATGTCCGTTACTTTTGGATCCATTGGAACTTCTTCCAAAACGACTGTTACTGAACATTCTTGAACAAAATAACGTATTCCGGAGTCACTCTTGGCTGCAACAGCTATGAAATACGTTGTATTTTCAGCTAAATCAATAAGTTCAACCGAGTTCTGCAAACCCGCAGATTTGTTATACCATGGTCCCAAATCACTGGTTCCATAAAAAATTATAATGCTGTTAACCTTGTATGGATCGTATTGTAACTTCCACCACACTTCTACTGATGACTTTGAAGTGGCAACAGCTCGTAGTACATTTAACGCGCGCTCTGCATCTCCATAACAAGGTTTTGTTCCTGCAAGTGAACATTGACACAATTCAATCGTAACAAGTATATGCTTACTATTTAACATTTTAAAATGATGAACGTCACTTAAGAGTCCGGGGGCGTCCGATTGCCAAAAGTTAACACGAACTTTAAAGAAGTAAACCTCGCCAAGGGAGATGTCACGAATGGTAGTCATTGGATACACACCTAAAGATACTGTCGTCCAAATCCCCAAAGGATCATCCAGATTTTTTGAATAATATAAGGTATAACCCTAGACTAAAGTCATTATTAAATATATCAGCAAATTTTGCTACCTGCTTTTCCTTTCGCAAAGGCATTGGATCAAACCATCTTATCAAAGCTGTATTGTTTTTAGTTAATCTTACGCAAAAATCTCTTAATTCATATGTATCTAGAAAAAACACGTTAAATTTACTGGAAACCACAACTAAGACCTTACCATGGCCTGCTGCATTCGTACAATACAGTGCTAGTAGTGTACAGAAACCAAAAATTGCTGCCTTCCCCATTAGCGTCACAATATAGCATCGCACACAAAGTTTTAAGGAACCACAAACTGTTGTCAGAATTATGTTTACCAGTTGCTTTAGATTTTGCTTTATAGGTCAGTGATAACCACTGAAAAAGACGAAAAACTATTATCACTAGAGCCAAGGTTAAAAGGGTAACTTTTTAAATATTCATTACTACAAACAATAAAAACATATTAGCAACCATGTGTGAATCCAACACCGACTTCGCGCGTCTTTTACTGTGATTTAAAACACTTCAGACTACATACGTCTCGCAAATATAACTTAAGTGGCGATGATTCAATCTTAATTAACCCACTAATGTATATAATTATAACTTCTGCATAAAAAAGGAAGTCAAAGTCATAGACCCATACGTTAGTATTTTGTAACAATGGTAAATCAGTATGCATATAAAATTCCTTCGTTACTAACAAACAACGTAGAGCCGAAACTATACTGAGTGTAGAAAGCTAAAATTTTGCATTATAATTGAAGGAGCATTTAATTCGAAGATAGGGCTCTTAATTAGCACCTAGTTATAGTTACTTCACTTTTCATTTTCTTGGTTTTTTGGGGTAGTGCTCTGATGAGTTCATATGCACCTGGCAGAACATGTAATACTTAATTTTAAAAAAAGGAGCATTTAATTCGGGAATAGGGCACTTAATTAGCACCTAATTATAGTTAGTTCACTCTTCATTTTCTTGGCTTTTTTGAGGTAGTGTTCTGCTGAGTTCATATGAACCTGGCAAAACATGTAATAATGTTTAAAAAAAAGGAGCATTTAATTCAGGAATAAGGGCACTTAATTAGCACCTAATTATGCAACATGTTTGATAGTGTTCTGCTGACCTTACTCTGCTAGGTTCATGGACATGGCACTCAAGGTGCCTACACATGATATTTCGTTTAACTGCTTTCATAAATAAAAAAGTTGGCATTGCGCATGCGCAAATCAACATTTTGAACACGTCGTTAATTTTACTTACATTCGTAGTGTTTACATATAAAGTTTCATTTATATCTTCATAAATAAAAAATGTAGTATTTATTGCACAGGCGTTAATCCAAATTTTTGACACTCCGCATGCCCAAAACAAAAAAATCTCGGTCGGTATGCACGGAATCTTTGGCCCAAGCCCTATATCACCCAAATCGGTTCAGTGGTGTAGGAGTACGTGTGACGGATCACGGACGGACGGACGGAAGGACGGACGGACGACAAAGTGCAGTCAATAGCGCTTTTTCACTTTGAGGAAAAGGACTGTAACTGGTCACAAAACTTACGTTATCCTTCTTCCTATATTTTTTATTCAAAGATGATACCATTGAATTTATTGCGCTATCATCGTCAGCAACTGTACGTACTTTTTATGTACGTTGTTGGTCAATATTTATTCCTAGTGTTCAACATTATACTTTACTTAATTACTCTTGTCTTTATCTTAATAAGCAAAGCAACAAAAATATTGAGGTATCATTTTTCAAACGCAACATTACAAACCCGATTTAATTCCGTAATGGTATGACCGTACCTGCCCGGTAGGCAACTCACATTACACAGTACGAAACATGAAGGACTTTTTGGATTTTTGTGCTTTTATTAAACAATGACATTTAATTTCGTTAAGACAAAGTTAATTCATGGCGCTTTTGCCACCAACTTTGCATGATGAATTTGTATTTAAAATAATTTAAAGCCCTTTTTGGCCAAAACATGCTCTACTACCGCTGACATGCGGTGTTATTAGAATGTCAAGTATATATACAACGCGTTAACGGTGATTTTTCGGAGGTGTGTGCTTGTGATGGCACAACTGAACATTGATCGCTAAGTTTGCATCTAGGCAGATCTGCTCAGTAAGTGGCGTCACGTGGTCGATCCTGTAGCCAGGAATGTGTTAGCGATGCCGCAAAGCAATTTGTAGACGCACGTTATACATCCAGGCTCCTCGAACGTCCGCCATTTCCAAAATTTGGGGGGTTATGGATAGGTAAATTTAGAACACCTCCATATATCGGCACTGTGATCGTCTGACAGTTTGCCATTTTTTAATTTTTGCATTTAATCACATTCATCTTCTCTCTATTACTTTCCGGATTGCAGCCAACTACAAGCTGTTTACCAACGAATTCGAGTTGATTCATCCAGCAACAGTATTACCCGCGGGATTACGATTACCTAATGGCTCCAATACAAATTTGGTTTTAAACTTTTACTCAAAATTAGCGAGTACAGAAAGAGAAAAACAAAGGCCCATATGAATAAAAGGGAGCATATGCTTATACTTGCAAAATTCAAAGTAAATACTCGTAAGTGCCCCTTCAGTATGAACCAGTATGGTCTGTCTGCTAAGTGAAAGTGGTAAGTCGCACAGTGTGAAGAAGCACTTCTGGGTATTTACTTTGAATTTTGCAAGTATAAGCTAAGCGTAGCTCCCTTTTATTCATATGGGCCAAGGTGTCTTCATTGTGTGCTGCAGGGAAGAAGACCTGACCGGGTTTAATAATGACACCAATCGAAAGAAGGTTTTTTCTCATCTAATGAAATTAGTTCTTTTCATCAGGTGTATTTCTCATTATTAACGAGCTCCTAGTGAGTTTATAATTTTGCGGTGTCTGTCCGTCCGTCTGTCGGTCCGTCAGATTTGGTCAGTAGGTATTGTTTCGTGCTTCGACCATAATCGTATTCAAGGGTTCTAAGCGTTGTGACGTGCACCTGTTTATTGGATTAATTCGAATTACCAAAGTGAGTGAGTGCCTCTGCTTGTATAATTATTGTATGAATGTAAATCGGCTTTTGTTCATAAAAGGGTAAAGGTGTACCCTTTCCTCAGAAACGTTGCGCATATGATTTACGTATGAGTTACGAGTTATTAGTGGATAATTAATTACCGAAGGTACCTTCTTGATTAGGAGTTAGAGTATGTTGATAATTAGTAAATTAGACTTGTGGGTGTCGAATGCAATGCCCGCAGAATGTGCATCTGTGCGTGCAGTTAATTACTGCTTGTCCAGGTCCACGTGCCTGTATCAAGTTGGCCCGGCGTTGAGTTAAGCCTTCCCTCACTCATCGGGAGCTACGTCCGGCTCGACCAGCGTTGGAAAGGCTCCTTAGCGCATGGAGGATACGTGGTAGCGCCAGGTTGCTAGTCTTTGTTTGTTGTGCCTGAGATGGCGTCTGGACACGTGTAAAAGGCCAACCCTATTTATCTCACTTGGAATTACGTTACGGTCGTAAGAGCTCTGGGCCAATTTAAGGGCGCGTAGGGCCGTCTGGTCGGTGGCTGTGCTCGGCACCTCAGGAATGGTTCGGCCCAGCACATCGGGGGAAACGCTCACCATCTGGATCCGTCCTGCCCACCGCGCTGGATGCTCCGTCCATCAGGATTCATCGTGCCGATCAGTGTAAGGACCCTGCCCACCGCGTTGAAAGACTCCTGTTACCCTCGTTCATTGTGAGGGCGGGGCGTTCCAGGGGAAGGCTATACGTGTCTGCACCTAGATATATAATGTGAGGAGGAGAGCCATGGCACTTTATTGCGCATGAGGGTTACGTATTACAGGCCTCGGTGGGCCCGGGCGTCACAAGGCCCCCTTTATGTGAGTTACGGACAGCGTAGGGCTTCTGGGGCATGTGGGCCCGGCTGTAGCCAACTGACGTGTAACAGACTCTTTTATACCCTCGTTATTTCCACGCAGGAGGGTAGGGATTGCACAGGGGGATACGTTTCCGGGTGGCATATGGGGTCCTGCCTGGACGTAAAGATCCTCTGTTCTCGTAACCCCGCTACTATGTAGCTTGTTGAGAGTTATTGAGTAACATGATTAGAGTAGTTAGGCTGAATACAAGACAGAGGTGCTACTTGTGTTTCTTGTAATTACAGTGGTCCAGGCCGAGAGCAGCCATGGAGACCAGGTACCGGTTAGAGACCTAGATGATCCTATGGTTACGATTGACTGATTTATTGATTATATCGTCATGCCCCTCACATGTGAAAGAATTGATTGATGTTAGTAAATTATGACATCGATGCATATAAAAAGATGTCACCTTTCTGTAAGCATCATCTCTGCCTGCGAAAATATAGACTTTGGCAGTTTAATTTGTCACGTTGATTAATTTTGTCCGTGATGGAATTTTCAACTTTGTGTCATTCAATATACAAATAAATAAATGACCCAAATAAACGCATTACGTCATAGTAAATAATAATCTTAACACATGGGTTTAAGATTTGCGATACAAAATGAAACATTGCGCTACACAACAGTCAACATATCCTGTAGATAATAAGAATGAAGTAAGGAAACTCTATGCGTGTGGGTGCGATAGCCGACTGGGAACGATGGAGCTGCAGAATTGACTAAAAACCAGAAGATTCCTTGGAAACAAACGTTGGCTTCATAGTGTAATCATTAAATTTAAGTCTGTGATAAAATAGAATCCTAAAGTAATTAGAAAATGTAAGTAACGATCATAACCTAATCTCTTTTTAATAGACACCTCATGTCTTAAAAAAGTGTAGGTTTTTTCAATGAAAATGTAATTATTTACTTTCAGGAAGTACCAAATTTTAGTTGCATTTATCTTAACATGTACCTGTATCGTTAGTTTCGCCGAAGAAAGTTCGGAAGATTTGTATAAATTGCTGGAAATACCTAGAGATGCAAACGCTAAGGATATACGAAAAGCGTTTAAAAAGCTTGCCGTAAAATTACATCCCGATAAAAATCAAGATGATCCCGATGCGGATGCTAAATTTGCCAAATTCGCACGCGCCTACGAGATTTTGAAAGACCCGGAATCACGAAAGCAATACGATTTATTTGGTGATGTTGGTGATAAGTCGCATAAACAGAAGTATCAAAGCTACACGTATTATCGTGATCAATTTGGTATTTACGACGATGATCCTCTTATAATCACACTGACACGTAGTGATTATGGTAATTGTTACTTTTAGAATAGTACATTGCTCTAATTGTCCAATTTCAGAGTTGAATGTATTGGATACAAGTCAGAATTGGTTTGTAAACTTTTATTCTGCTCAGTGCCATCACTGCCACGAATTGGCTCCAATTTGGAGGAAATTGTCCATTGAGCTTGAAGGGGTTTTACGTATTGCGGCTGTGAATTGTGAAGAAGATTGGGCATTATGTAGACAGCTTGGTATCATGTCCTATCCAACCTTGTTATACTATGAGAAAGATGTATTTGTTACATCCTTATAAACCAATCAATTATCATAATTATTTTGTAGGCTACTTTATATCAAGGTGAAAAATACCAAGGTGAAAGAACTGTAGAAGACCTACAAAACTATGTACTCGGTCGGCTAAATATGGATGCTCAAACTATTTCACCAAGCGATTGGGATCACGAAGGTTTTCGTAAAAAATCATGGTTGTTACTTTTATGTCCAGAAGACTGCAGTTCGTGTCCAGAACCGGAGACGATTCAGAAATTGGCTGCCATTTTTGTACGTCAATATTTCTTTTTTGTAGGCTTGATCTAACGGAGTAATGCTTAACTTTCACTATGAGCCTTGTTTGGGTATGAAAGAGAATAACTAGCAGATTAGGTGGTAGAGTCCTTGAAAATATTTTAAAAACCAAAAAATTGTTTAGGGATTTCTAAACACTCTTATATTGATTTTGCAACTTTTCTTCCATTTAACAAAATTTGTATCTTATCCCATAGTGACCCTTCTTATCTGGGACACAGTGTATATAGGTCTAAAGTTATAAGATTTCACGTCCGGTGTATGTACCTATCTGAATTTTTTTTAATGTAACACCATATATATTTTTGTGTTATCCTATGTTTCTCTCCTTAATAATGTCCTGTATCTATTTCCATCAGTTTTCGATATACATATATCATAACTATAAATAATAGTAACAATACAAAATTAAATAATTATTTATGCAGTCAAATTTTTGCAATCAGAAAAAAATGCTCTTTCGAATGACACAAAAAGTAAAAATGACTTCCATAGAAAAAACGCAGTTGATGATGGTTAATTGGAGATGAAACGTCAGACTTAAAATTTAAAACTAGCATCTTGTAGAGGGAAAAAAGTGATCATAATAATGTGTCATTTATTTTGACATCTTTGAATAAGTTCAGTATCGAGCCAGTTTAGAAAACATTTTTTACTTTTTGTAAAATTGGCTGTTTCTCACACGCACATAGACAGACCGAGAAAATACAAAACTATGAACGATCTGGAGGTCCTTAATAAATATAGGTTTGACAATACAAGCTGATTGATGCTACGAAAATTCTAGTCAGTGCAGCATTGTAACGCGCATTCCCCCGTAAGCTTAGTATTGTGTATAATTCAATTTAGTTATGTTCAGTGGCGGTCCCAGGGGGGGCCCGTGGCCCCCCCCCCCCGGCCTATTGTTCATTTTTTTCATCAGATTTCTTTTATTTTTTTCCGTGTTGGGACAAAGTTCGGGTTTGGGCCCCTCCCTTTACCAAATCCTGGGACCGCTACTGTCAGTGGCGGTCCCGGGGGTGGGGGGCACGCCATTGTTCATTTTTTTCATTAGATTTCTTTTATTTTTTCCGTGTTGGGACAAAGTTCGGGTTTGGGCCCCTCCCTTTACCAAATCCTGGGACCGCTACTGGTTATGTTACAAGAATAAACAAAATATAAAATTTATTTATATGCCTTTGTTTATTTATTGACTGAACTTTTTCCTTTATTTTAAGCCAAGTTACATGCGTAGTAACTATGAAATCAAGCCAAAATCAAATTCGGTCTCTCAGACCGAGGTCACCACTGGTGTTCCAAAATTTCACGTCACCACTGCAGGGTTAATAAACAACAAAACTAGGGAGTTACATCTTATCCACCCAGTAGATATCTGACTACAACCAGATGGTCACTAGTGTATGTAAATTCCAACTGTATGGTGGGTTGGTAGAGTAACATTGGATAACCCTGTCTATATAAAAATAAAGTGTGATATTACACAAAAAATTACAATATACAGTTGATTTTATTTAAAAATCTGCATACAGGTACAATATTCTATACTTTTGACACACTGTATTATTGTCCGTAGGTGTAGCAGATAAATCAATTTGTAATTTGGTCAGTCATTATTACTCCAATGAACATAGAATATACACAGTACTACAATCGTTATAATAATGTTTTAGGAAGGATTGATATCTGTTGGTATCATCCGCGATACCAAATTAGCAAACAATATACACAAAAATTATAAAGCACAACCGATAGTATTTTGGGAAGTCAAAGAAGACGAAGGTAGTTTAGACAAATCGACTAGCAGTGCCGAGATTCACAGTATTGAAGCGTCGGATACAAAAGAGATTGTCACAAAAGTACTGGGTCTACTTCCTGAACCTCAATTTCTGAATGAAGAATCATTTAAAGTAATTAACTCAATTTACGTTTCTCGTCATGAACTAAACAAAATTTTAGGATATTCGTACACAATTACGTTTAGGATCTGAAGACTCGTGGCTTATCTGTTTTCATTTGGGCGCCGCGACTGATCTCAATTTACAATGGAAACGAATTCCAACTTGGCTGCCCAATATGAAGCTAGGTAAGATGTCTAGGTCTGTTTGGTACTGACTGCAATTGTTGTTTGAAGGTTTAATACATTGTGGACGAAGTGCTGCCCTTTGTGCGAGTCTTCACGTATCACATTATCCCGCCTGGGGGGTTCTCAAGCAAATGGGCGCCTTTGAGCTCTATACCGGGCGTGACATATTACATGAAATTGTAGCTTTTGCTCGAGAAAGTAGTCGATCCACAAATTTACATGCGCTGTCTCCAGCCGAATTTTATAGTATAATAAAGGAAGGTAAGAATTAATACCGGCTCTGGCAAGAGTAAAATATATATTGTTAACAGGAGGAGCTTGGTTTATCGATTGGTATGCACCATGGTGCCCGCCGTGTAAAAAGTTGTTACCAGAAATGAGGAAGGCTAGTCAACATTTCCAACCAGAAAGTGTTCAGTTTGGAACAATCGACTGCACTCTACATTCAAGTTTATGTTCCTATGAGGGTATAAGAGCGTACCCCACCACTAGGTTTTACAATCGCAGCAAAATACATCACTTTCACGGGGTTCCTAATGAACAGGGTATTGTCGAGTTTGTCGAAAACATGTTACATCCCAGTGGTATGTATTAGCTCTGAGTCATTTATTCGCATTTTTCATAATATTATTTTAGTCACAACTTTAGATGAAGATTCTTTTATACAAGTACAGAGAAAATCTGAAGACGAACTGTGGATTGTCGATTTTTACGCACCCTGGTGTGCTCCTTGCCAGAGGCTAATGCCACAGATGCACGCTTTGGCAAAACAGGTACCTAACTTACAATTTTTCGCCAGTATAGTTAACTAACCGTTTGCAGCTATCTAATTTTGAATTTGTGAGAATTGGGCAGGTAGATTGTACCACAGAGTTCAACATTTGCAATGCTCAAAATATAAAAAGTTATCCTACCATCCGTTTGTATCCTCTAGGAAGCAAAGGTTTAAACACTGTGGCGTAAGTGTAACAGTTTCTTAAATTTTCAGTTTACATTTGTACGTATTGCAGGATGTACAATGGGCATTTCGATGTCATGTCTTTAAAGAAGTGGGTACTCAGTTTCATGCCTGGGACTGTAGTAAAACCGTTGGGTGAACATAAATTTCACAAAGCTGTTTTATCTAATCATGATCATTACAAACCCTGGCTGGTTGATTTCTATGCGCCTTGGTGTGGGCACTGTGTGCATTTCGAGCCTGAATTTCTCTTAATTGCCAAGGTATTTAGTATCTATAGATTTTCAGGCACCAAATTAAACAAGCATGTTGCAGACATTAGATGGAAGAGTTAAGTGTGGCAAGGTAAACTGTCAAGACGAACACAAGTTGTGCCAAGAAGTACATGTCCATCAGTATCCAACTGTTTACCTATATTTATCTCCAAATGAAAGACACGAAATAACGTCACAAGTTGCTGCAGATGTTGTACGGGAAGTAAATTCAATACTTACCCGCAAATTTAGGGATGAATTATAAGTGAAATAATTTAATTTTTATTTATTTCTGTTCTTAACTGTAATAAAACCAAAAACTACTTTTAATATACTTACCTATTTTACAGTACCTACTCACTGAATGCTTTTAAACCTAAGAAGAAAATTTGTATGATGTTACTGAAACAAATACTAATTTAATACATTTATATTTCTACATACCTTACAGTTGTATTATTTATAATTTAATATTAATTACATCTTGATTTAAGTTGAAGATATTTAGAACCCTTCCAATTAAGTTACTTAGAGGAAATATTTTTAACTTTTTGTTAATGATCTGGAAAATAAAGCATAATTAGTGTTGAAGCATTAAAAGAAAAACACAATTATTCTGAGTAAGTACCCCAAAAGTAGACAAACTTGCTTGTTGCTTAGATATACAGGGAATTTTTCTTAAATTTGTACATATGATCTATGTATACTTTCAAAACGCATTTTTGGTAATACAGATTTTTTTATTAGCAAAGTTTAAAATTATCGATCTCACGAGTAATCTACCTCAAAATAGACTAGAGCATGCACATCTACAATTGGTGCCGCCCGGCACTGTTTTCACCTAAATGAGTGCTTAGTATAGTCATGGACTAATTAGTCTATGGTCATTGATAAATTCAATGCTATGGTATAGTGAACTGTGTGGGAGCTTGACGAACTAAGTTTAACACCTCTTTGATTCGTACACTTTTACCGACAATCTGCGGAAAGCTTTGGCGAATGACAACCGTTCGCCGTAGGCCCGTAGCAAGACGAACTGGTCTCCCACACGTTACGCGAACTACCCCATGGCCGTATGACGAACTTTCGCCGTGTGCACGAATCGTCTGGGATCAGTTTTAGACATAACAGGAAGAGGTAAAAAATTTTTAGGGAGAATCGCTCATCCGCAAGTGTGCCAAACTCATTTCCTACTACAGGGTACCAAATTTAGTAGGTACACATCTTCTTAAACATAAAAAGGCAGAATCTCGCAGGTGTGTGAGTGGTATCTCTGCTAGCTACAGCATTTTTTTTATGAGTCGTGTAACAAAATTATCCAGACAAATAAATTTTAATAAAGGCGGGTGTAGTACTTTTTAGCGCATTTCCACAAAAATTTAAAAAAAGCGCGCTATTGTTGCCACTTTGTCCGTCCGTCCGTCTGGAGGCTATACTAGTTCTTTATCTTAAGAGCTATTGTTCTACTTTTTTTGCTATTTGGTTCGTTATGGTGTCGAGGCTTGCACATCTTTGCTTGCACCAAGAGAGAAATTTTTTCTGCACCGCATAATATTTTACACTTGCCGTTTATTGACGATCCTCGAGATCGTTTATTATGTTGTATCGCCGTCTGTCTGTCTATCTGTCCGGGTGCAGTTGTACATGATAACTGTGTTAAGATATTTAAATGAAATTTTGTATGTAGCAGAGCTGGGCAGAGCTTGAGGGCTTTGTGCTTGTAAAAGGGCTTCAAGTCCTTTCAGGACTTTCAAGCCCTGAAATTTTTTGTGTTTTTAATTAGAACTTGGTAATTGAATTACTTTTCCAAAGCGCTTGGGGCTTTGAACTTCAAGGAAAAGTGCTTCAAGCCCTTTTTCCTCTACAAGCCCTTTTCAAAAGTGCTTTGTGCTTGTAAAAGTACTTTCAAGCTCTTTCAGCCAGGGCTTCCAAGCACTGTGCTTGTCTAAATTACAATTTTATTCAAGCACTTTTAATCACACATGAACATTGTGTGGTACGAAACATTACCTGTCAGCATTTCTGCGTTAATGAGAGTTATTTAATCTAAAGTTTTGCGTGATGTGTTTGTGTTTTAGTTTTACAATTTCATTAAAATTTTTTTTTTAGTTTTTGAGCAGTCTACGTAGCTGAAAAACTATATAGTGACTTTTCATATATCCTTAGGAACATGTGTAGGTAATACCAATTTTCAAAGCGATCGGATGTTTCTAAACAAAGTTATCGTGCACACGAACAAACCGCAATGGCAAAATTATAAATGATCTCAAGGATCGTTATAAAGGACTCAGAACTTCGAGCAAAAGTGCTTCAAGCCCTTTTCCTAAAAGTGCTTTGTGCTTGGAAAAGTGTTCAAGTCCTTTCAGGACTTCAAGTCCTTTCAAATTGTGTACAAGCCTTGTCCTAAAGTGCTTTGTGCTTGAAGTTCAAAGCCCTTTTAGAAGTAATTTGTAATTTCAAGTCTTTCTGATGACCGGTAGTAATTTGAGTATCGAAGTACATACATTGACTAAGGTCTTTGTGCTTAGAGCTTCAAGCCCTTTCAGTAAGGGCTTTGCCCAGCTCTGGATGTAGGCACCTCGAATAAAGGTAATAAAACCAATGTCGAATAAAAAATTTGTTTTGCGCAATCCGATTTTTAGCGTATTTGATTGATTATAGAAAAATATTATTTGACTGTCAGGTTGTTTTTATTTAAATAATAATATTCACCATATCCACATATTCAAGACCGGCATAATGCGGACTACTTAACTTTTATATTTTATACACACGGTCCATGCGGATAATTTTGTGATCCAAGCCCGTAAAAATGTAAACATGATTAAATCGGGGATTAAATGTGATAAAATGGGAAAGATAATGATTTTGAGGCGGATCCTTTGGGAATTAAATTTTCTTTACTTCGGCCCTACAACAGTACCTACCTATTTATGGATAGAAGATTTGATGATTTAGTAATTACTCCAATTTCTGCTTTTAATAATTGTGCAGAATTTGAGTTTCAAAATAAAAAGAAAACTCATTTCTATAAATCAGCATGCACAATCCGTAGACGAACTACGATTCACGTGTACGTGACGTGTGTTTACTGTTTAGAGGAAAACAATTCACTCTGACTTTCCAATTCTTCCTTGAAATAACCTAATAAAATTAACAAGTTAAAAAGTAATCGTAAACGATTTACAAAAAGCGCATTTCCATTTGCATTCATTTCCCATTTGTAAGATGCAACTTCTGTTAAAATCGTAAAAATCCGGTCACAAATATGAAAGATAGCCGTTGCACATGTGCAATCCATTTTTTACGTGCTACTTCAATTTCAGTTTATAAGTAGAATTACATTTCAATGGTTTCATAAATAAGAAAGTTTGCAATTCGGTTTATAAATGGTCGAGATCCGAAAAGGCTACCTGTGAATTTTGAATCCATTCGTCTCAACTTTTGGCATTGCGTATTACATGGCTAAAGCTATGCCCATATTGAATTTCATGCAATTCAGTTCATAACTAACGGAGATGTCAAAGCGATCGGACATTTCCAAACAAAGTTAACGTTCACACGGAGAGGTAGAGGGACAGACAGACAAAGGAACAGACGGACAGACCAACAGACAGCAATACAAAATTATAAACGATCTCTAGGATCGTTAATATACGGCAAAAGTGTAAAATTATGGAACATGTAAAAAACGGGTTCAACAATAGCGCATTTTTTTTATTTTTGTGGAAATGCGCTAAAAATATGCACCTCATACAATAAATGGGGCTGTTATGATCGTGGTGATCATGTCTTGTTTTGTCTTGATGCAGAGTCAATAAATGCCGACACGTCTCGCGCATTTACCAACGATCATAGTGTAAAATGATGTGTTAAAATGGAATGTTTCAGTCACTCTTTTTTAACAATTTACACTATTATGCGTATGTGTGATAATGAATATTGTGAAAATCTGTTACCCCGTACGATCGCAGGCCCCATCTCTCTCCCCTCCGTTTCATAGTACCTAGATAGATCATGAATAGATGCCTATTTCATAAATGACTCATTTCATGACTGGCAGTTAAGTGTAGAAAGACAATAATTAAAGTGTGCTGATAATATTCATATATACCTGCGTAAATATCTTATTATAGTAATGATAAGAAAAAGAATACACGAAATGTACGTTTGAACTTACATGTACAACCTGTTTTGAAACTCCAGGTTCTAAATCTGGCCAAAGAACGTCAAGTGCATTAGGTGTGACATTAGAAATGACTTCGTTAAATAAACGACCCAATTTTTCATCATCCATTAAATTGGTAAAATTGTTCTGAAATATTTCGTAAAGATTATATTCATTGTATGCTCGGTTGATGCTACACACATTTAGTTTTTTTAGTTTGACACCAAGCCTCATTGAGTCTACGTAAAATGGCGGGTCATGTATATAGTCGTACTTCATCTTCATTATCATACCAAGAGAAAGTCCTTGCAGTTTTAACCTAAACTGATGGTTTAAACCTTTGAAATGCAGCTCAAAATGTGTTTGTTTACCAAAATGGACCCTTTCCATATACTCTCACCAGTTTTGAAATGCGAGCATTTATAGCGTATTGTCCTTCAACATCAATTTGAGGAAAAGAAAGGTTGAGTGTTAGATGGTGTTTGAAATCCCAGTTGACGTAGTCTACATTAAACTCAGATAGTCTACGAATTTCAACATTCTTCATCTGGCCAGTGACCCTAAACATTCATTTCAAGCTAAAGATACAAGAGATCAACGTGCTCACACTCCCACGTTCTTTGAAGTAATGTTAATCTCAATCCTTTCAATAGTTAATGGTTCTAGGATGGGTATTCCGAATTCTGGAATACCAGCTTGCATGTATTTCCTAAACTCATTTAAAAGGCGTATAATCTTCTCTCCTGTGGTTCCGTTGTCCCCAACAATTTTATTTAAAATCGAATGCCCCATGTTGAGGCCTCCTTGTACCACTCCAGTTACACCGTGTAAGACATCTACGGACAATATCATATTGTGCTTGAAGAAAGAGAAAAAATGGCTCTTACCGATCGTGTTGTTTGCAAATTTTGATAAAGCTACGCCGACCGATGGAAATAAACGAAATCGTGGTGGTGCAGGGGAGATGCCCGAGAGACATCCAAACGAGAACACCACGATTGATATTAAACATTTCTTCTTCATGATCATCTAATCACCAACCCATGGTTTCCTCGATGAGTTCTGTCGAACAAATTTTTATTGTAGAAAAAAACAATGTTTTGGTTATGCTATACAAGCAGGTAAGAATGCAATTAACGCTTTAAGTATCAACCTACACCATAATAGCATCAACGATAATGGGAATGCGAACGTTACGCAAACATTACGTAGGTACTTACTTTAATTATGCCTTGGATAATAAACTATGGTAAGGTAGGTATATAAATAACCTGCTATTATATTTCGTTTTCATTTTGTATGTCATTCCAAGAAACACAGACTAATTTGTGTGCCAAAATGCTGATGATATTGATTGGTAATTAAAATGAAATTTTGCTTCTAGTGCAGTACCTACCTGAAGGTATATAAAACGTATAGTTAACAATCACGGATGAATTAAAAAAAATGTATACCTCTAGCTTCTTGCACATTGGAAGTCAATTCGAGAGAAAAGACTTGAAAATTGTTGTAAATAACTCTGGGCGCTTAGCTACCTTCTATACCATTGAATAAGTAATAATTACTTATTCAATGCTACTACACACTTCAACAAATAGTCATCGGTGCCGTACCATTATTCAGAGTAGGTAGTAGGTACTACTCTAATAATATTACATAAACGTACAGGATTTTTAATATAACATGGCGAATATGACGGGAACATGATTTATGTAATTACTTACCAACTTGAGTTACTATATATCAGTGTAATCATTATATTTTAATTGATTTAACTTACTTGTATCATTCAAGGTAAAATGTTATGTTTTTACCCTTTACGTCCCTTGCCAAGATCATTTCATGAGGTAATGTGATGTAGTTTGTACGTATGCCTTCAGTACACATAATATTTATTTTATTACGTTTTCCTAACGCAATATGAAAAATAAATATTAACGCTTGTAAGTATATGTTGCTATATTTATTTAGATATTCGCTAATTAAAATTGAAATTCGCTTCCTTGGGTTTATGTAAAACTGAACAAAGGGTAGTTGCACGTAAAAGACATAACATAAACAAGGAGGGAGTCTGGATCTAAAATAAAACAAACAAATCTGTGGTTAAGTAAGTAAATAATAAAGCTTACATCGAAATAGATTACGAAAATTTTCAGATCTAAAAAATACCAATTTCGCCTTACTTTTATGGTTTACTACGCCAAGAGTTTTAGCTCGACAGCTAAAAATCAAAAATCAAATGAAAAATCAATATCTACGTTCCTGCAAAGTTTCGTATTTAAAAAGTAATTACTTTTTTTATCGTTCACTGTATGCACAATAAAAAATGTAATGACGTGTAGGTACTCCGCGTATAACATGCAAGGTTTTGATCGTGATTTTTATAAAATGCTTGCTCAAAATATGTAATAATCCAAGGGGAATGTTTAGAGGCGCAAAATGCGATTCTCTCGAGAACGAGGAACTGTTTCGACTTTCGAGAGAGGGAAAATAGCAGCGAATTTTTTGAGGAAGGATAATATGCAGAAGATACATATAGATACTAATTCCATGTCGTTTTGCACCATTGGAATGAAGTTTGGCATCTTAGAATAAAACGTGTTATTGGACAAATTGCAAATTAATGAGACAAAAAAATTCCGATGTAAAGAAATTAGCATTGAAATGTCTAATGGTGCGTCAACCGTTTCTATACCTACCCTGTATACAACGTCCGATGACACACATACGACATACGACAGGCATATGTAATTAAAAAACAGCATAATGAAAAATTTCAAAACAGCCCAGTCCGGGAATATAAAAACGGTCCCTCGTAACATAAAAAAACCTAAATATTTAGCATGAAAATCTCAAACAATTATCGTGGTAGAAGGGGTCTATCTCGTAACCTAAAACCAGCATACGCAAAATTTTTTCGAAAAAAAATGGCGCAAAATAAAAATACTTTTTAAATAAGTGGAAAATGTTTTATCCGATGAATAGCAGATAAATCAGAACACTTGAGGAGAAATGTGCCACAGACCACTTCATTGGCGTGAAGCGGCGCGATTTTAAACCTAAACCCTATACCCATAACGCCTGAATGCGTCAATTATGGGCCTTGTCCCACCAAAAGCTGCAGGACAGCGACACGATTTCGACATGTCACAATAGTACAGGCAAATTGTCCAAAATAGACAAGAAAATTGCGATGTACTTACAAGTAGAAAAAAGTTCCAGAAAGTCTAAGGAAAAGAAATGTTGGGTACATCCTTTTATTGCAAGGAACCAAGCTCGAGGGAGGCCGCCCTCTTTTATAGGGGATTTTTTCGCTTGTATCTCAGTAACTATCAGTTGTACCGAAAAGTTCTTGTGTTCTTGATAAAAATTAAAGCTAAAAAAATTATGATAAAAATGGTTCTATGCTTTATTTACGTAGGACTAATGGCTACTTTCGGAGTTATGGGGCCGAGAAAGTACAAATATTTCGTATTTGCCATGTCGTACGGTAATCCACGTGTTTCTGCCGTGTTGAGAAGTGCAAGCCAGCAAAGTTCTCCAATGCAGAGCAAAATGGAGTGGATGTGGAAGTCCCACAAACCCAACTTGCCAATACGGCATCTGTGATTCCTCGCCCACTTGTTATCCCTCCACGAGCCTTCACGCCGCGCATTAGAGTAGGCTCTATACTCATATCAGGCAAATTTCCTAATCCAGGAAGATCTGATCTACTCACTGCAAAATAACCGTTTCTTGCAAATTCTTGGAAGTCATGGGAGAGGGTGGTAGGGTAAGCCACGCATATCTTGTAGATATAAATAATAATTTGGCATACTGAAAGTGGCCACTCGAATGAAAGAATGGCATCATTTGTTGGACAGAGCACATATGCATTTCCCAGTCACCGAACAATCTGCTTCAATTAACTGTTTCATATATAAGTGATATAAAGTCTACAGAGCTGCAGTGGGTCCATCTTCCTTCAAAGATAAAAATGCAGTTTTCATTTGTTTATGGACGAGGGCGAATTGAGCATTATGACACACATCATATCTTTAGTGAGTGTCATCTTTAAGATTAATCAACAATTCGGTGATTTCTCTCTTGTATTCATCTGATACTTTTAGTTTAGTATTCAGAATTTCAGCCAAGACAGTCTGTACAAGCAGGTGTTCTCATACTGCTCTGTTAAAGGCATGTCCAATCAGCATTTTGTCTACTACATTTGCAGCAAAAACAGTACACAAAGCTTCTTTTTGACCACTTCCAGCCATTATATGGCAAATGCTTCCCAAAAGCGACATCAGCCACCAACTCTTACAGCAACTGACTTAATTATATTGTACTTCTTTACTTGTTCCTGAAACAAACAAAAAAAATCCATGCATTTTCTAATGTAAATGTTATAATGCCTCTTAGGGTGCTTTCATATCTGACGGAAAAAACGTCGCGTATGGTCGGTCCAGTACGTCGGCGTACTACTGATATAGAAATAAAAGGCCTGACGCATCTTCCGTCACGGAAGAAAAGGTCAACGTGTTTCATTCCTCGAACACCCCGAGTGATACCGGAGGCGAGCTGCTCAGGGTAAAATTAAGGATGGGATCGGAAGGAACGAAGTTACGGTGCTGAGAGGGAAGAGTACTGCTCCAACATTCGAGACGTAGATTTCAACATAATGCTAGCACTATGCGAAGCTACGTACGTCTGAGGAAAACCCTCTGACAAAACCTCAGATAGAGCAGCCGGCAGCGGGATTCGAACACACAACCTGCCGAATAGCAGTCGGCAACCCGTCATGGAAGATACGTCGCGCCTTTTATTCATACATCAGCAGCAAGCCGACGTACTCAACCGCGCGATATATTTTCCGTCAGATATGAAACGAGCCTTACCACCTTTGTTAAAACAATCTTGTTGTTATTGCCATGACGGCAGTTTTTAGCTTTGCTCAGTAAACGAAATTAACAACCAGTTAATTTTTAACAATCGTTGGTGCCAGGCAGCCTTAATATAATATCTCAAATATTCATAAGCATGGTGAATAACAATTAGAATGTAAACATATGGCGATTCTTTGAAATGTTTGTACCTTCTCGGCCCCATAACTCAGAAAGTATTAGTCTTACGTAAATAACGCATGGAACCATTTTTGTACTTTAAACCAAGAACTTTTCGCTACGAGTGACAGTTACTGAGATACAAGCGAAAAACTAAAAAAGACTCCTATAGAGGAGCTCGAGCTCACCCCCTACCTATAAGGACTTTTTATTTTCTTGAAACATAGATACTAAGGAACAACTGTACCAATTGTCAAAACTCCGGGATTTTCTTCCTTCCATTTGTGTAATTTTACTGGGCTTCTTGTGGTTATCGCGTCACTGTTGTGTAGCTTTGGTCGGACAAGGCCCTTAAGTTACAGTCGATAATTTCACCTCGCATCATTCGGCGAGGCGCATCTGCAGTTGTTTAGTCGCCTCTTACGACACGCGCTGCGGTAGGGTTATTCGTTCCCGACCCTACACGGGTAAAACAAGATGAAATATAAAACCAAAATAAGCAATTCGAAGATATCCACCGGAGAGCTACTCACTGCGAAAAACGCACTTTTGATAAGAGTATGTGTGGATACGTTATCGAATTAAATTATGAGTATACGAGCCCAGTCACATATGTATTGGACCAAAACAAACATGTAACACCATTTTTTGAATTAGAATTTATTATATCTACTACTAGAGTACAGAATGTAAAAATGTAAATACATTTGACATGGTACGCGAGATAGTACAGTGCGACATCAACGAAAAAAAGACGTTTAAAAAATCCTACAATCCGATCGGGCCCAATTGTGAATCTAAACCATCCGGAACACTTCAGAAGTTCAGTCACAACACACATGACACGTACCTACCTACAGAAGAATTTTATATATAAAGAATATAAATTTAAGGAATGCCCTTAAGCTTATTCGATACTATGTGGTTTAGTCAATATATAATAGGTTTATCAACCGCATGATACTACATGTTAAATTGTATAGTATCATGTATCAACCGCAATAACTATAAAATACACAAAAAGGCGAGCAAAAAGGTAAAGTGATGTCTGTGTGTTTTGGTCCAACAACGGGCGATCAAAAATGATTGCTGTCGAGTCGCCTTTGGAAGTTTAAGTTAAATATGATTTTCCATGTAAACAAAAATTCCAAAGGTAACTCGACAACAACTCATTTTTGTGGAGGTGATTTTCTTTGGTATAGTCACAGATAAAATCATTGTATTATTAATACACACGCAGAATTTTTCTGCCAACATTATTTACGTCTATCCTATGCATTAAGGAGCTTTCTAATATTCGAACGGACAGGTAAAATTCACGCCGTGTATAAAATCTGTATTTCTGATAAAAGGTTCGATAAAAATTGAAGAAAAATGTATCTACTAGACCGAATAATTTACTTTCTGTTTACATGGGTATTTTGTTTTTTAATCATACTCAGAGCAGTGGTAGGCAAAAAATTTTGAAGTAAAAATTAATAGAAGCTGTGTAGTTAGTAATGTAAAAATAATCTCCAGGTCATACATCTTCATAGTTACATAACTCTACGAAAAAATGTATGTGGGCAATTGCTACACGATAGGTACAGAAAGCTGCAGGTCACTTCTTCGTTGTAATAAATAACCGTATAAATATTTATAACCAATGTCCTCAATTTCTTAGGTACCTTATACCTTCTCATGTTTCTATAGCTATACAGTTTTGCGTAATGCGTATGAAATTACCGCAAAATTTCGGGATAATTGCATGAAGTTCCACATCAAAATAATCATTAAAAGAGAAAAATTGTGGATTCAAGAAGAATTTGCTAATCCTGTAGGTAACTCAATTAAAAATACACAACTGCACCGCCCTAGGTTTGATTATCCCGTTATCTGTTTTACTGCAAACATTTACCACATATCAATTTTAAAGAAGTCAGGAAAGGGTATCATTCTCTTTTTAAAGTTTTTTAACATTTATGCACTCAGTTATTTTTAAATCGGATCATTGTCCCATTGTTATACAACGTTTATATGACTTATCATCGGCTAGTGTTTTAATGAAAGACCTTTTATAAAAAATTACTTCTTCCTAGATACCTAGGTACTAAAACTACGTTTAGGCACCTTATTCATCGTATTCCTAAAACTAGCGATTTAAACAAATACTTGTGTGTAACGATTACGAAGTTTTTGTGCCAAACCTGTAAAACAATGTAGATTACCAGCACCATGCTATTGAATGTTCAATAGTTGTCTTTATTGGCCCAGGTACGAGCAAAAGCACCCAAATTCTGTCCTTTTTCTACAATTCTAGACCTGAAAGGGACGGACGTCCAAATAGGACTGCCAAAGCTAACGAAATAATAATTTCCTGAAGGGTAGTAAGTATAAGTCTCTAGGTCTAATTCTCAAGTGATCATGCATGGCAAGTTAGCATCTCGAACCTGACATTGAAAACTTTTTCGAGGTTTGCAGACCTTAATGTGTATTAAATTACAGTGTCGATCCCTTTGCGAAAAAAATAGGTTGAGGGGTTGAGCAAAGATTGCAAAGCGTTAAATAATAAAGAAAGTAGATTTAAGTGGGTACCGCGCAAAGCAATTCAAGTTGGAGTTAATTACTTAATTACTACTACGTTAATTTAACGGGCTTACCACTTGACCTAGGATAATGCACCGAAAAAACGCACCTTGATTTACAACGTAACAACGCGCGCACAGCAAATTTGTTTCTAATGGTTTGACATAATCATATTACATAAAAAACATTGTTTTGTACAATTTAGAGAGTGAATCATTTGGTTGATATCAACGTAGCTACTAAAAACTTAATGATTATGACTACAACAAGACAGTTTTCTCTTTAGGTAAAGTGAAACGTGAGTCGAACGTAAGAATTCTATCAAGTACCTTAACTCCATTATGTAACCATTGTAAACGTATATACCCCTTTCTGCAACAGTTATTTTTTTGATGTGCATTTATGGAAATTTCCAAGTACCTACTGAATTACACTATTAGCTACCTATCTAAACCTCTAGAACATACCTACTATCGATTACCTTCCTAGCTAAAGTAAAAGTGGTTTTACTAGCATCTAGCAAGACGTTTCATTTCAATTCAATTGGGTCACACGTCATAATGTCGCGTCGTTTCAAAACGTGCCCCGAATTCTCATATTGCGTGCAATAAACTTGTTATACCATACAAATCGACGAGCGAAGAAATTATAAACATAATTAGGCGAATAATTAAGTAGGTAGCTATTTTGTGGTGATCGGAGAAAGAGTATATTTACATTATACTCGTATCTAAAAGAATCTTTTGCCAAAATTGAAAAAAGTAAATACCTAAATGTACCTACTTACCTAAAAAGTATCAAGTGATTCAGAATACAATAATAAAGAATATCAGCATATTATGCATGATTAGATTGCATTTTTGGTAATACAGATCGTATTTTATTAGCAAAGTTTAAAATTATCGATCTCGCGAGTAATCTAACTCAAAATAGACTAAAGTCTGCACATCTACATGACAGCAGAAAGCTTTTAGTGAAAATTTCTCTACCTATTGTAATTGCTGAGATCTCAGCCGGACAGCCACCCTGCCAGCGTCCAGCCAGCCATCATAACGAATATGATAGCGTATTTTTTTTTTTTAAAGTGCTAAAAACTACCCCTGTAAGATTTTCTCCACTATGTGAGAGTGCGTGGGATCAAACTTTTCCCTGAGGGTGATGAGCCGGGCTAATGCAAAATCATTTACTTGTACCTTTGCTTGTACCCAGACACGTAAATTTATAACACATTTATAACACGAGCGCGAATTTCGCTACTTATCACTTCGGTTTGCTTATGTAGCAAACAAAAAGTTTCTAGAGAAACTTGGAATAAGCATATCATATTTCATAGACAGAATGACTCATATCGCTTACGAGCGCCTTGAGAATGTTCTAGAAGGTTGAAGGATCGCTATATCCGATTTTATTCCTTATCACCGGTGAATAATTCTTTAACGACTTGATGGGCGCCTTGAGAATTTTCTAAAAAGATCGGTACAATAAACATAATGTAAACAAAATCTTATAGTACTTACGGAAACACTACGGAAATATAAAGACCTAAGAAAATTATTGCTAATTAGACGACTATAACAATATGTGCAGCTGGCATTTATTCAAATTTGCAAAGGAGGGGATAAACCGACCCTAAAACAGTATGCCGCTCCTCATGAAAACCTGTCTATATTACGTAAAGTTTTTTATTGTAATAATAAACCCCTAAACCGGATCTAAAAAAGCGGCAGAGCACCTCGGAATGACCCTACGGATCATCGGATTTGATCCATTTTCAATAGGATTCTTACATATGGTATTATTAGTACAGGGTGACAATTTGAAAACTTACCACCCCCCATATCTTAGTAAATAAACGAGATATTTAAAAAAATCAAAATCCGTTTCGGTAATTCGGAGGGGGAATCACAATGACATAGTTGGCGACGCACCCCCTCCAACCCCCTGCGCCCCAGCCACCCCAACTTTTAAATCTTAAATAGTGACCCCCCATGTGTGATACGTCGTTGGAAAGCTCTGAAAAAAATGCTTTCCAACCATACCAAATAGCATTACATTTAGGTTAGTAATTATCGTGCAAATCAAAAAATAAACTAATATGATACATTTGAAATCTGTCGTATTTAAAACGCAACCGGCGAACATAGACGAACTAAGACAGAGAATAATTCAAGAATGTCGAAATATTGCAAAACCAACATTTGAAAAGGTTCGACAAGAGTTTGAGAATAGATTATAACTGGCGATCAAAAATGAGTTGCTGTCGAGTCGGCTTTGAAAGTTCAAGTGAAATACGATTTTCCATGTTTATTTGGTGGTATCTGTGCTAGCCTCAGTCAATTTTTACTTTTTACTTCAGAATGAGTTTCATCAAAGAATACACTATTGAAAAATGAACGAAAAAGAAAGAGAAATAGTGGTATATTACATTTATAAACCTTTATTTTGTTTAATGTGATATTACACTATATTATACTAATAAAGGACATATGCTCATATTTCCCATGCATTTCCTTAGGTATATATGTAGTTAGGACTTCCGCTCTATTTGCGTCTTTTGCTTTTTAAGCAAACAGTCTGCATCTTCACGCCATGTATTTACTTTCTTGGACAAAATTTGATCCATATTTTCTCTTTAGGAGTTTTACTTAGATGATCCGTACCTTCGCCTACTGGCAAAATGGTTTTCTCATCTAAATGAAGTTCAAATTTTGACAATATTGCAGTTAATCCCATCTTTATTTGCGTTACCCCAAACTTTCGCCCTAAAATATGGTGTGAAACTCGGAAATTGACGTCTAGCTTACCTATGCAAACTCTTGGTCCATCGCCGAAGCCCAAATAACACGCTTTCGGGCGAGAATTTAGTTGCTCCAAACTAAAACGGTCGGGATTAAATCGAGAGGGGTGCTCATAATACATGCTGTCATGGTGTATTGCGTACGACGGTATAAAAACTTGAGTGCCTTTCTTAATGAGAACTCTTGCACCAGGATGCTTTGGTGGAGATAAATGAATATCTTTTGTACACTGCCGATTCAAAAATTTTGTAATAGTATGCATTCTAATGGTTTCTGAAAGAGGTTACACCTACTCAGTTGTAAAGAAAACACTCATCAAGAGACACCCACCTAAAATTATGTTGTCAATATAGTCGACTTCCTTTTGAGCTTCTTCGGAGTAGATTGTTTTATATTTTTCAGAAACATGGTCTATTTGCTTCTGAGCCTTTAACTGAACCTCAGGATTTAATGATAATTCTAATAATGCGTACGCAAAAGCAAGAGCACTTGTAGCAAACGCGTCTAAGTAAAACATGGCCGCATAACCAAAATGGGTGAGATCTGAAAAAAATGTCAATTAATAAAATTTGCTTATTGATGCAACATAACAGAACCAAAATATTGTTTCGCAATGTTGCGAGACACTCTCAAAGTTGAACCGAAGATGGTACGGCTCGTACAGTATAGGCCGAATCAAATTCGAAGGCCACTATGGGAATCTCGGGAACTGTAAGAGATAGGTAGGTTTAGTTTAAATTTGGCAAAGTTGCGTATTTTGATGCTTAACAAAATGCAGTTTTGAAACGGAAAAAATTCCGACTACTTTCGGAGATATCCGGAAAAAACAAAATTTTGCAAAATCGTTTTTATTTTTTACTGAAGTTATATTTAAAAAGATATTTCGAAATAAATAATACAGTATTATGGCCATTTTTGCCCCCTACGAGATCCCCATGGTGGCCCTAGAATTTGAATCAGCTAGTCCAAAATTAGATCTTGAGTAGATTTCAGACTTCGATGGTCATAGAGATAAAACTCATTAAAGATAGGAAAATATGATTCACATACCTTGATATTTTTCCTTTGCTTCTTTGAGGAAATTTAAGTAATCCGAGTTGTATACATTTTCCCTTGTCTTTATAGCTTCTGAAATCATGTCTCGAAATTGTTGGCTAAAGTGTTTACCCAAATATCTATAGATGCTCTCTGCTAAATAAATAACTAACGTCAAGTATAATTAAGCCTTACGACATGTTAAGCAGGTTGGCTATATTGGGCAATAAAATTCCAATGGTGCTGTTTATCGCTGCTATCGTTGGATTATGTATAGTCATATCGTCCCTTATTTTCAAAATGAGCGGATACTCTTCCTCAAAACACCTCCCTTCAAGACCGTACGCACAAGCCATTACGTTATTTCCAGTAAACCTGCAGGTAATATCTTCAGCATCTACATTATCACCATTTAAATTTTCAATATATTTTATCATGAGACGACAACCTGTTTCTATGTGCGGTCTCATTTCTCTGATCTAACAATAAAATTGTTATATTAAGATTAACAGTCGTACCTACTTTTAGGCTCGACAAATGAGGAGCAATTTCCTTTCTCATTTCCTTCCATCTGTCGCCTTCGACGAAAAACGGATTTATTTTGGCAATATCGTCCGGTGTTCTTATAAACACATCGTGGAAACTTTCAAAGTTCTGAATAAGAACTTCGCTTATAATCTGAGGATCTCGAATGACTACTGCCGGTGTCAGGAAGTTGTAAAATCCGACGTAAGAATAGTCTTCATAGGTCCTTGCAAACCAAATATTGAATGAACTCGTTTAGTATTTAAAAAGTTGCAATTTAAAACTAGATGAAAACGGGGTACGAAAGTCATGTCAAAGTGTAAAGCAATTGAACTTGCAGAACAGTTTTAATTTTTAACTACTTTCACTTTTGCTCACACGGACTCTTCCAGAAATAAACAATCTATGTCTAGTTTACAAACGTCCTACGAACTGGAACTTACTAGAATACTATACGGGATATACATCATCCCTGCACATGGCTCGCCCCCATATCTACACGCACCTACATTCATTCAGGAAAAAGGAGCGAAATGTCGAAGTCTATACATGACTTAGTGATATATCTAATTCTAAAATTTTGCTGTTTCTGATTCACACGAACAGATGTATGTTTTGTCCTTGTTGAGCTAGGGAACTGAGTAGTAAACACTATTTTTTAATATACACTGTGTCCAAGATAAGGATCTTTACCAGGGGGAATTATGATATCATAGAAGATACAACGATGGTCAAACTAGCGAAAAGATGTACAATTAAAGAGTTATTATCATGCTTTAAAGAAAACCAGAACATTCCAATTACTTCCGAAGATATGACAGAAAAACGAAAGTTGGAAACTGTTGGTTCCAACAGGATGGTGCACTCGCGCACAACGCCTTAATCGTGCAAGAAGACCTATCGGAGAAATTTTCCATTTTCCAGGAAATTTGCCCGACATACCTACCTATCTTGGACATAGTGTATATAACAAGCATAAACAACAATCTAAAACTATAAACGATCTAAAGATAGCAAATAATGTGTCGGTGTCAAATTATATCGGTTGGCGGTGCCCTGACGGCCGCGCCCAGTTTTTCGGAAATAGTTCATATGCAAAGATATCACTATAATTACACTTACCTATAAAGACGATCGAAAAATTCTGAAAGTGTAGTACGCAAAAAAAGAACCTCTCCAATATTTCCAAATAGTAAAGTTGTTTTAGGGAACGGTACTTCCTGATTTTTCCAATATGCGTACTTTTGTCGTAGAAAATACAAAAGCAATAGTAGTGTAGATAGGATAATTGAGAACAACAAAATCATCTTGGTATGGGTACAGTGCAGTGTGCAGTTACCACGGTACACTTTCTGAAATACACATTAAAAAGATTGATTGTTTCAAGTATCTGTAAATAAAGTTATCTGCGATGAACACACTCATGATAACGACAACCTTGGAATTATACGTATCGTATAACTATGTGTATGTATTATGAAGATTCATTATATATAATTGAATATTCAAGGGCAATATGACAACAACTTTTAATTACAATATATTTTATATTCAAGGTAATAATCATATTCATAAGCATAACAAATTGAAGATGATAGGACTTTGGTTGGTATGGTAAACTAACGGACCGGTGAAATTACCGGATACTGTAGAAACACACTAAGTTGTATTTGAGCATTCACACGTATCGACGTCCGTAAAAAATCGGTCCAGTACCGGCGTACCACCGGATGGGTTTCTACTCGATCCGTCACCGTACCTCTGAAAAAAAAACGGAGTGTTTAAAACGATACAACAAGAATACTTACAAAAGCGCTGAAATCCGGCGAACAAGAGGTAAAATATATATTGGTTGTGTAGAAGCAAATCACAAATACAAGTGTGTCTCTCCTCTACTCTTAATCCCCAAAATGCGTTTATAAGGACGAATACTAATTCCTTTTATTAAGTAGGGTGAACTTCAAGAGGGTAGTAATCCCAAAATTTTTGGATATTAGCGGCTATAAAAATTTTGCATTTCTCTAGCACAATAATCGAAAACGGAAACGAAACGTAGAAGATTAAAAAAAAAAACTAACAGTAATACCAATAATAATAATAATAATAATATTACCCTGTGGGTTCGGGGATAGAATAGGCCCACTCTCGCCCTAGAGATCGTAAAAGGCGATCAATGGGCACTAAAGGTGACCAGTCCAACCACCTTTAGTACTTACCTACCCACTTTACTTTCCAACTCCCACGTCCATGTTCCCTACTTTCCTACATTATACACAACACGCAGGTGGATATTTGCTTACGCGAATATCTTGAAGAGTGACGCCTTCACGTGTTCCTAGTCACCCCATATTCTTATGAAAATGGAGTTTAAGCAAAGCCTCGGAAAAATGCCGCTACCTGAGGAGCGTCAGGGCACGTCTGGAGCTATCGCTGGGCGTTGCAGCATGCGAGCCGATAGTGACGAGTTGGTGAACAGGCGGCCGCTCGTCGGGATACCCGAAACTTACCTCTACAGCCGAAAGAAGACTACGAAGAGGACAACGACCACCTGAAGAGGACCGCCATGAAGAGACCTTTGTGCCTGCTTCTCAACCGCTTGTGGATAGGACCAGCGCAAAGGAAACCTCCAAAAGACGTATGAAATGGGACGAAGGGATGAATCGCTTCATTTTTGGTACGTATCTGGAGATCACGAAGATAGAAACGGACAGGACAGCATACAGAGGTAAACTATATCACGCGTTCATTACACAATACCCACATTTAGCACACTTGACAGAACAACGCATTGCAGACCAACGTAGAGTTATCCTTAAAAATACACTCCTTACATTAGACACACAGGAACAAATCAGGCACGAAATTGAAGCACTACTCAACACAAACAACACACTCATCGTACAAGATAATACACCCGTTCTAAACAACACTGAAATACAGATATTTGCGACACCCCAGCAATCGATAGATACAAATAATCACATAAACCAAACACTCACATCCCTTCAAAAAGAATTTGACAATGCATTGTTAGAATTCTCAAACACTGACCCAACACAAAGAGCACGAATACCTAAACAAAGTCACACTACAAAATTACGCACACTCTCAAAAACACTAAATGATCACATTTTACCTAATTACATTAACGATAACACAAGCTTACATCAACTACACTTTGTTGTGTATTGCGGTGCGGTTGCAGTTTCTAGATGTAACGGTTCAAGAATAACAACAAACCAAGAACACCACACAACAAAAAAGCGCTCACCCCCGGCTTGGGAAAAACGCCTGATTAATCGCATCGATGACATCAGACGTGACTTGGGTCGAATTACACAATACATACAAGGAACTCGTTCTTCAAAATTAACAAGACAAGTACAACACATAACTACAAAACTAAACAATCACACCACACGAGAACAAAATACAAACTATAACGAACATAGAGATACACTCACACAAAAACTATCTATAGGTATACACAAACCGTTTAAAACGCTATAGGGAAACTGCAGACAGAAAGCGCCATAACACACAATTTAAACATAACGAAAAACTATTTTACAGATCACTAACACAAAACAGCACTAATGAAAAACTAATTCCACCATCTCTACACTCACTTCAGCAATACTGGTTTGACTTATGGACCAAAGACATTAAACACAATCCACACGCCCCGTGGATTACCACAGAAACCACACGCACTGAATACATTACTCCTATGAATAACACAAACATCACTACAACAGACATCATTCAAACTATTAATCACTTACATAACTGGAAAAGTCCAGGCATTGATAACATTCACAACTTTTGGTGGAAATATTTTACCTACACTCACTCTTACCTTGCACAACAATTTACTGAACTTCTTAATTCACCAGATCGCACTCCTGCATTCTTTACACAAGGTATCACTTACATGCTCCCAAAAGACAACAATACACAAGACCCATCTAAATATAGACCAATTACATGCCTTCCTACAATATACAAAATCCTTACATCATGCATTACCAACAAAATATACCAACACTGTACTGATAACAACATTTTATACGAAGAACAAAAAGGGTGTACCAAGTGTTCCAGAGGCTGTAAAGAGCAACTCATTATGGACTCTGTAATACTTGAACAATCCAGACATAACAAACGAAACATACACACTGCATACATTGATTACAAAAAAGCATTCGATTCAGTACCACACTCTTGGTTACAACAAGTACTTCAATATACAAGGTCAGCAACAATATTACACAATTCCTCAATTACATAATGTCATGTTGGAACACTACGTTAACACTTACACTAAACGACACAAAACTTATTACTGACCCAATACAAATTAAAAGAGGCATCTTTCAAGGCGATTCTTTAAGTCCGCTTTGGTTTTGTCTTGCTCTTAATCCACTTTCATATTTGTTAAACACTACTAACTTTGGGTACAATATTAAGCACAACCACGAAATACATCACAACATTACACACCTGTTTTACATGGACGATCTTAAATTATACTCTTCCACAAGCATAAAACTTAATCACCTTCTACACATTACTGAAACATTCTCACGTGACATACAAATGGACTTTGGAATCGATAAATGTAAAACACAACACATCACAGCTGGTAAAAGACAACTTTTAGATTATGAGCTCGAACAGGGTAATTTAATAAATTCCATGGACGAGAATGAAACTTATAAGTATCTTGGTTTTCAGCAAAACACACACATTAAACATACGAGTATAAAACAAACACTTATCACACAATACCTACAAAGAATACGCAGTATACTTAAAACAAAATTACACGGTAGAAATACAATCAAAGCTATTAACACTTATGCCACACCAGTACTTACATACTCTTTTGGGATTATACGTTGGACAAATACAGATTTAGAACAAATACAGAGAAACACACGTACACTATTAACAAAACACCATATACATCACCCTCACTCCTCCACTATACGACTTTACCTTCCTCGTTCGGAAGGAGGTAGAGGACTTACAGATATAAAACTATTACACCAAACACAAATACACCATTTACGACAATACTTTTATAACAAATCAGATACTTCAGTCTTACACAAAACAGTAACATATGCAGACAAATCTTACACACCACTTAACCTACACGAAACTAATGTACTCCCACCCACATCCAAACTTACATACATCACAAATAATATACAGACATGGAACCAAAAGCCTTTACATGGACGATTTCCACAAGAGGTTGGCCAGGATTGTGTTGACTCTATAGCAACGCACAGTTGGTTGTCTGAATGTGATGTCTTCATGGAGACTGAGGGTTTCATGTTAGCAATACAAGACCAGGTCATTAACACACGCAACTATAAAAAACACATACATAAAGATAAAACAGTGACAAATGATTCTTGTCGACTTTGTTCACAAACATCAGAAACAATCCAACATATAATATCGGCATCATGCACACGACTTGCACAAACTGAATACAAACATCGACACGATCAGGTAGCTAAAATCATACATCAAAAATTAGCACTTAAACACAATCTCATAACAGATAAGACACCATACTACAAATACACGCCACAGATCATACTTGAAAACAACACAGACAAATTATATTGGGACAGGACACTACTCACAGACAAAACTATCCACAATAATAGACCAGATATTACACTTATAGATAAAACACAAAAATCCATTTGTATTATAGACATTGCCATACCCATCACTAACAACTTAACTAAAACACATGCAGAAAAACACCGCAAATACACCGATATAGCTATCGAGCTTAAGACGCAATGGAGAATGAAATCTACTGTTATAGTTCCCATTATTCTTAGTGCTACCGGAGTTATACCAAAGACAATACACATTTACAACTATTAGGTTTGGACAAAAACACATACAAACATTTACAAAAAGCAGTCATTATCAACACATGCCATATTGTTCGTAAATTTCTAAACATAACACAAGATACTACATACAGAAATGATCCACAACGTATACATGTAAACAACAGTACTCGCTCACAACACGGTACACAACATACTGTAATATCTCCAACTCTAACCCAAACAAAACACACAAATACAACTTACCGAACAAACAAGTACCTACCTACAACAAATGATACAACATATACTACAATCAGAGATTCACCTCTGAAGCAAACCACATTACCACCACCCATTAGTATTCAACCCAAACGCAAAAGCCTAAACAGCACTTTAGACTCACAACATGACACACAACATACTGTAATATTTCCAAACTTAACTCAACCAGCCACACAAACACAACTTCCTGAACAAACAAACGCAATAAATAAAAGTAACGCAACACGCACTACAAAGACGCCCTCACCCACACGGCCTAGCACAGCTAAAAAACACAATACTCTTTCTTCTCAGAAACTCACCACGTTATCACAAACACAACCCACTCGTACTCAACCCAAACGCAACAACCTTAACAGCACTACAGGCTCACAAAATACTGTAATGTCTCCACCAATAACCCATGCAACAACAGAAATACAACTTCAAGAACAAAGAAACGCCATAAATACAAGTAACGCAACATGCACTACAAAGACAGGTCCATCCAATAAAGTTACACGCCCTAGCACATTTAAAAAAACACAAAACTCCTTCTTTACAGAAACACACCACATTATCACAACCCACTCGTATTCAACCGCAACGCAAAAACCTTAACAGAACTACAGGCTCACAACATACTAAAATATCTCCACCAAAAACCCAAGCAACTTCACAAATACAACCTCAAGAACAAAGAAACATCATAAACACAAGTAACGCAACATGTACTACAAAGACAGGTCCATCCAATAAAGGTACACGCCCTAGCACAGTTAAAAAACACAATACTCCTTCTTCTCAGAAACAACCCACTCGTATACAACCGAAACGCAAAAACCTTAACACAGGCTCACAAAATATTGCAATATCTCCACCAAAAACCCAAGCAACCTCACAAATACGACCTCAGGAACAAAGAAACACCATAAATACAATTAAAAAACACAAAACTCCTTTTTCACAGAAACACACCACGTTATCACAACCCACTCGTATTCAACCCAAACGCAAAGCCAAAGAAACACTTACACAATAAACTCCATTTAATAAAACTACAGGAATTATTATAATGATTTTTTTTGTTTTGTTTTGTCCTGATAGCGTTGGCTATTGTGCCCATCAATATAGATATGTTGGTAAGTATGAATTACATACTATCTCAAGATTTCCAATGTGAGTGTGTGAATTTTTATTTTATTTATTTATTTATTTCGTTTTTTTTTAGGACCCTACATAACTTCACCAGACACAGACACAGACACTAATCGTTACTTGATTTTAATCCGTGCGATTAGTTAACCAGGCTAGACCTGAGTTCTCACAAGAAACACCGACCATAATAATAGTTTATTGCCATGAATAAATTCCTTTACATTGGCATTGTCATGAATGTAGAATTATATAGAAAAAAAGACAAACTAAAAACATAAAGAGGACAAACGTTATACATTGAGGAGAATAAGATGTTAGTGTGTCCGGTTTAATTCGCATCAAGCTCGCCCACGGAGTAGTAATTTTTTTCAAGTAGATATAATTTTAAGTTTTTTTTGAACAATTGAATATTCCTTGATTGTTTTATTGCCTTTGGTATAGCATTAAATACTTTGATGCAATTATAGTAATAACCTCTCTCATAACGCGTTGTTCGGTGAGTGGGTATGCTCAAATTGTCACCATTCCTTGTACTCATTGCGCTGTAAATATGGCTATTTTTATTGAAATCATTTATGTTACGCCACGTATGTACCGAGGCGCAGTATATAAAAAGACTGGGTAGAGTTAAAATTTTCAATTGTTGAAATGAAGTTCGGCAAGAAGCTGCACTTGGAAGACCAACCATAGCCCTAATAATGCGTTTTTGTGCTATAAATACTCAAAGTAGTATGCTGTAGGCTAGTACACCATGTACAGCTGCGAAGTAATACGCTCGAATTGAGTTAAGGCTTAGGCGCTCTTTGAGATATCTGATAGCATAGCATGCACTATTCAGTCTGCCCACAACATAGTCAACCTGCTTGCACCACTTCAAATTTTGGTCAATATGCACCCCTAAGAATTTAGAAGAATAATTAAGGAACATAAAAAGTTAGCGGGAAAAGAAGAATAGATTTTTGAAAAGAGCGGGAAAGTATAGCGTAGTTTAGACGAAATAACAGCAGATGGCCCTGAAAACGAATCAGAGGCATATCATTGAATAAAATGCTTTACGCATAAGCTTAGAAAATTAGAATAGTGAAAACAGTAATGAAAGAAGAAGCGTTTAGAGTGTGCAAAGGAAGATAAAATTGTAAGAAGAGAGCCAGAACCGAAAGAAGCAAAGAAATCAAAAGAAGAGATTTAAGAAAATGAGTACGCCTATGATATGATATTCAAAACAAAATAAACAAATTCTAATCTAAAAATCAAAATAAATAATGCAAAAATAAAGTAACAAGTTAAAAAGTAATCGTAAACGATTTACATAAAGCGCATTTCCACTTGCATTCATTTCCCATTTGTAAGATGCAACTTCTGTTAAAATCGTAAAAATCCGCCACAAATATGAAAGATAGCGTTGCACATGGGCAATCCATTGTTGACGTGCTACTTCAATTTCAGTTTATGAGAAGAATTTCATTTCAATGCTTTTCTAAATAAGAAAGTTGGAACTGCGCATGCGCAAACCTAAATTTTAAAACTAATTTACTATAACTAACTAATAAACTAAGATTTTCCTTTGTTCCAAGCGCCTAAGTATCAAATTTCACTTAAATAGTTCCATAGATAAAAAAGTTGGCACGGCGCATGCGCAAAATAAAATTTTGAAATTGGCGTTTGATTTTCCTTTATTCCAAGTGCCTATGTATCAAATTTCGTTTAAATTCTTCCATAAATAAAAAAAGTTGGCACTGCGCATGCGCAAAACCAAATTTTGAAATTGGCGTTTGATTTTCCTTTATTCCAAGTGCCTATGTATCAAATTTCGTTTAAATTCTTCCATAAATAAAAAAGTTGGCACTGCGCATGCGCAAAACCAAATTTTGAAATTGGCGTTTGATTTTCCTTTATTCCAAGTGCCTATGTATCAAATTTCATTCAAATACTTTTATAAGTAAAAAAGTTTGCAATTCGGTTTATAAATGGTCGAGATGCGAAAAGGGCACTGTGAATTTTGAATCGATTCGATCCAACTTTTGGCATTGCGTATTATATGGCTAAATCTATGCCCATATTGAATTTCATGCAATTCAGTTCATAACTAACGGAGATGTAAAAGCGATCGAACATTTCTAAACAAAGTTATCGTTCACACGGACAGATAGATGGACAGACAGACAAAGGAACAGACGGAGAGACCAACCGGCAGGCGACAGATAGCAATGCAAAATTATAAACGATCTCTAGGATCGTTAATAAACGGCAAAAGTGTAAAATTATGGAACATGTAAAAAACGGTTTTTTGTTTTTTTTACAATAACTTTTTTTGTAAGCGGTACAGAAAAAATTCCTTCCTTGGTACAAGACTCGACACCATAACGAACCAAATAGCGAAAAAAGTAGAACAATAGCTCTTAAGATAAAAAACTAGTAGCGTCGCAAAGTTAGCGGACGGACGGACGGACGGACGGACGGACAAAGTGGCCACAATAGCGCATTTTTTTTTATTTTTGTGGAAATGCGCTAAAAATGAACCTGTAACAAAGATGCGGGGCACATATGAAGCAAATTCATGTTTATCATATTGAAACAATTCACCGGAATTAAGTTTTCTTATTTATCATTTTATAGAGTGTGATTTTTTCTTTCTAGATACAATCTGAATAGGGACTATAGCATCAAATTGAAATTATGCCATTTATAGGTAGGTAAAGACTACCTGCGTAGGTAAATGGTAAAACGCAATTTTTAAAAAATGGGTCTTTTGCACCGTCAATTGTGTAAACAAACGGCGTATTTGAGCTTCCTTGCATATTTCGGTCTCCTATATTTCTTAGCATTAATTACAATGCGTCCAGGTCCAATAACACTACTTTCGGTACCAAATTTGGCATCCGCTTCTAAAGCATGTAATTATTTTTGTCCAAAAAAACAAAAGAAAAATGGGGTTGGACAGACGTCGTTAGGAAAGTGTGCATTGCCGGGATAACCAATGCCGGGAATGCAATAGTCGCCGGGATAGGTCGTCGCCGGGATGAGATCATAGATAATTATCTATGGATGAGATGCACCGAAGTAGGTATACTTCATCGTGTTTCACTCACGTGGCGTTTATGCGTTTTACAAAACAACGTGTCAAACAAAGACCAGGATACCTACCACAGCCTACGTTAGGCAGTACGCGATTTTAATTATTATCGATGCCGTTCCAGTTACAGAGTATACAGTTGAATGTGTATTGTGTAAGTAACCTACAAGAAGAAAAGTGTAACCGTTTAGGAAAAAGTGTTACGGGGCAACGCACACTTTGCTATATTGATTTGAAGATTGTTTATTTTCGAGGGTAAATACACAAGAGCTTGATTTTTAATAGGATAATTTTATTTTTACACGACAGTTTTGTTGCAACGGAAAGAACTAGAGATCAAAAGTGTGATAATTTTTATTTTATCATGTGCTTTTGATCGAAGGTTTTTTCCAGGAAGCAACAAAATTGAATTAAAAATAAAATTATCCTGATTTCAAACCAAGATCGAGTGTATTTTAGGGAGATTAATAAAAGACAGTAAATTTTAAAACCACTATATATTTTACGCATTCCTACGCGCATTTTTATCGCTCATAAAAAGCCACCTAACGTTTAATTGCTGATAAAAATCTACCTAGCTTTTAATCAGATAAAAAATCATCTGATTCGTTAGAATTTGAAACAATCACCATGCTGTTTGGTTGTATATTAATGGAATGTATTAATCGAAGATAATTTGGAGCACTGAGCTTTTAAGTAACGAGTATCATTTTGTAAGTTGAGTACTATGTCTTTTTTTAATTAAACAAGACTACACGTAGTTATTACTTCCTTGGACAAAATTTGATCCATACTTTATTTTTAGGAACTTTACTTATATGGTCCGTATCTTCGCCTAACGGCAGTATGGTCTTCTCGTCTAAATAAATATCAAATTTAGACAATATTGCAATTAGTCCCATTTTCAGTTGGGTTATCCCAAATTTACGACCTAAAATTTGAAATTATGAAAGAAACGTCTAGACATTTTTCTACCCATGCAAGCCCTTGGTCCATCACCGAAGCCCAAATAACACGATTTCGGCCGAGAATCAAGCTGCTCTGTTTTAAAACGATCAGGATCAAATCGAGAAGGTTCCTCATAATATTTGCTGTCGTGATGTATGGCGGATGATGGTATATAAACTTGAGTACCTTTCTTAATTACAACACTTGATCCGGGATACTTAGGTGGAGATAGCACAACATCCTTGGTACACTTCCGGTTTATAAATTTTATAACAGGATGCATTCTAACGGTTTCTAAAAAACAATTATTCTCAAGTAAGTACATACCATACCAAGTGTCCCTATGCCCACCTAAAACGATATTGTCAATATAGACCATTTCATTTAGAGCTTCTTCCGAATAGATTGAGGTATGTTGTTGGAAAATGTAATCGATTTCTTCCTGAGCTTTTAATTGTACCGCACGATTCACTGACAATTCCAATAATGCGTATGTAAAAGCAAGAGCACTTGTACCCCATCCATCTAAATAAAACGTGCACGCATAACCAAAATGGGTGAGGTCTGAAAATGAAATTTGCAACTATAGTTAGTTATGGTATTAAAATTGGTTAATAATTAATACCAGTCTTTACTTGTATTTATTTAAAAAAATCATGCCGCATAGGTTCTCAACAATTCGACCGTTAAAGAAAGTAAATAAATATAGAATATCAATGCATTCAGGAGCGACATGGAAAATCTCAAAGTAGAGTTTTTATTAGGAGTGAAAAGTACCTATCAATTTTCATACGTAATGTACAATTTGTCTGACGATGTGAGGACGTCAACTCAGATGAGTCGCAGCGTTACTTCACTAACCGTTTGTGAGAAACCATATTTTTCCAAAAATGTAATCTATCAAGGCATTTAAGATATCTTGTTAATTAAATTTATTAAAGATCGCCAAATCCTTTTTAGTTAATAATAATGTGGTGTTGGTATAAACAAAACTTAATTTGGGTAGATATATGAGCAAAAATATGGGAACGTTGTGGTCAGATAATGCGAAGCAATTTGAATATCCCAGCAAGATCAAAAGTGATATTTTTAAACCAATAAATACCGTCAAATGATATAGGTTACAATGTAAATACTATAAACAATTGCAAAATTCAATATTCGTCTGACACGCAAACGATAGAATAAATTTCTCAGAGAATCGCAAATGCAATATAAACAATTACGGGAATATGAAACGACGACATTGGTAGGATAATTACAACGAAGGCCTCCTTCTAATCTTACATCCTCTTAACAGCGCTTTGATTTGAATGTCATTGCTTCAAATACGACGTTTCGATAGCGAATAACAAAAGCTCTATATGCAGATGGTGGCTTTCTTCTCCAAATACGAACGAAGAAGTAAGTCAATGCGAATCATTCTTCCAAACTGGTCGAATGGTGTTGAAATGCTGCTTCTACACGAAGATTTATTGCTAATTTGTATGGAAAACCACTTGTGGAACGATATTTGGCACCTTTTCCACCGAATATTGCTTAATTAAATGCACATAAAAATATCCAAAGCACGCCTTGCGTAGGCCACCTCTTTGAATCGAACTCAATAATGTCAAATCACGAAATGCGAGCACACGTCTCGATTTATCCAGCGAATCCGAAATTCCCGAATAAGTTCGTTTAAATTTAAATTGTCAATGAAAAGTATACTTATAGTCACTGTAACGTTTGGTATTAAAAATTCTATAAATAAGTATATATAATTCAAAAATATTCAGGTACCATCTCAAGGTCAAGTCAACAATGGGTAGGTAGTATCTTAGTGCTATTCTTTACACTATGGTAGTATTAATTGTCATAACAGCATGGCTGCATAGTCATCGTTTGTAATGTAACTTCCAAAATATTAAACATCTTTGCTTTAAAATGAAAGGACTAAGCAACTACAGTAATTAAAGTTCTAGAAAGCGCTGTTTTGGGAAAGATGTCACGGAACGGATCATGATGATGGAGCCATTTTACGCAAACTTTCGAGTAATATAAAGAAAAGAACTTCCTCAAAGTTTTATTTTTTTATAGGATAAAACTTCTATTAGCGTGTCTCACCATAATCGCCTCCAAGGTATAATTTCTAGCAAGCCGCTTTACCTATAGTCTGGTTGAATTATCGTAAACCCAAATTCAACTAGCTAAAGAAAAGAAACAAAATGACATACGTGCCTTGATACTTTTCCTTTGCTTCTTTTAGAAAATTTAAGTAATCTGAGTTGTATATATTTTCCCTTGTCTTTATTGCTTCTGAAATCATATCCTTAAATTGTTGGGTAAAGTATTTACCGATATATCTAGGAGCATGGAGCACTCTGTTAAATGAATAAGTAATATGTTTAATTTAGTCTTACGATATTCTAAACAAGCTCGCTATATTAGGCAACAACATTCCAACGGTGCTGTTTATCCCAGCTATAGTTGGATTGTTAATAGCCACACTATCTCTTATTTGAAAAATGAGTGGATGATCTTCGTCAAAACACCTTCCCTCAAGACCAAACGCACAAGCCATCACGTTATTTCCAGTAAACCTGTAGGCTATATCTTCAGCATCTACACAGTTACCATTTAAAGCGTCGATATATTTTATCATGCGCCGACAAACCATTTCTATATGCGGTTTCATGTCTCTAACCTATGTAACAACATTGTTATACAGAAATTAAAATTTGATGTACCTACTTTTAAGCTTGACAATTGAGGAGCAATTTCCTTTCTCATCGTTTTCCAATTTTCACCCTCGACGAAAAACGGATTTATTTTGGCAACATCATCCGGAGTTTTTATAAACACATCGTGGAAACTTTCAAAATTCTCAATAAGAACCTCCCTTATTACTTCAGGATCTCGAATAACTACTGCCGGTGTCAGGAAGTTGTAAAACCCGACGTAAGAAAATTCTTCGTATGTTCTTCGTTAAATAAAAAATAAAATAGGAATATTAAAATTTTTTAGTTTTTTACAAATGTTGAAAATATCTTAGGGCATTATTTTAAAATTTTGACACTACAGTACAACCTCGTTAATCCGAATAGATTCGAACCACCGACCTTTCGGATTATCACATTTTCGGATTATCGCGAAACTAATGAAAATAATAAATTTGGACACAAGCATTAAGAAATAAACTTTATTCTTTTCAACGTCTTCAGGGGTGTCATCGTTGTTACGAGGAACAAAATTATTTCGGACTATCGCGATTTCGGACTAGCGTGTATTCGGATTATAGAGGTTGCACTGTATTAGCAATTCTGATATGTTCTCTACTATTACGTAAAGAAGGAGTAGGGGGGGAGGGGTATCCTTAGTCATAGAAACAGGTGGTGAGGCGCAGGTGGCCTTAATATAGATAGGTAGTGAAACTAACAAACCACACTATATGGTTTTGGATGCTCATCTCTGTTACCTTTATAATAAAATGCTGCGCACTCACCTATAAAGACGTTCAAAGAATTCGGAAAGTGTAGTACGTAACAAGATTACATCTCCAATATTTCCAAATAGTAAAGTTGTTTCAGGGAATGGTACTCCTTGATTTTTCCAATATGAATACGCCTTCTTTTTTTGTAAATACAATAAAAACAATAAAAGTATAGAAACAACAATTGCGAACAGTAAAATCATTTTGATGTAAGGTAATTTTTTACCTATACGCCCATAGGTAGGTTTGGAAAGTAATAAAACAAAGTAGATCGTTTCAAGTAGGTAGTTATGATTTATGAATGCGTTTATCAAACGATAATGACACTACAAAAATACGATTACGATAACGATAACCCTTGCAGTATATATTGCCCAAGCGATTTCGTACGGGAGCATTACCACGTGCCTTCATTCAGTTTTTCCCCGTTCCAGTGGGAAAATAGGTACACCTTAAAAGAATCCTACGTTTTATATGTCAAATGTTGCGTGTTATCTTCCGCAGTTTCAACCGTAAAACGTAAAATCCCGTTTTTTCCTGTTCCGGTGTGAATTTCGGGAAATCTTCTCTTAGTGGTCCCGTACAATCTCGAAAGAACCTACATCCCGCCTTTCAGGTTTCTATACGCCCAGTAGCTGTATGCTGTCATGGAAAAGTTTTACATACAGTGATATTCATGTAGAAATAGGGATTTCCTATAGGAATTTCCTATGTCTACTTTTACATGATAAAAAGTCTCCTGAAGGACGCCTAATTTTATGCAACCAAAATAACTTCTTGTAACAAATAAAGATCTGGCTGTCATATTAATTATTAGTTTGAATATTATTGTTTTAGCTTCACAGAAAATAAATCTCTTAAGTTCCTTTAACTGTTATCGGCACTATACCAATTGGCTGTAGTTGAATAAATCGCACACGAACCGAAATTAGAATACGGAAGTCAAAGCGATAATATTCAAATTAATTAATATGACAGGCAGATCCTCATTTGTTGTAGGTATTTAATTTGGTTGCATAAAGTTAGGCGTCTTTTTATCATGTAAAAGTAGACAGGAAATCGCTATGTCTACTTCTACTCAAAGAAACTAGGTACAGTGCCAAGGCGTCAGCCACATAAGATCCCACGTTCTTTTTTACAACTGCAAACAATTATTTTGAAAGGTCTTCAGGTCCATTTTAATAGGATGCAATGAATGCCGAATACTTCTGTTTCCACGCCACTTTGGATCTGAAGGTGGTGTATCAAACGTTGATCTAAACATTAAACCAGTAGGTACATAGAGAGCGGTGTTGTGCATTTGTGCAAAGGGAAAAGTTTCGGACGGCCGCACACTTGTAACAAATACCTTAAAGGTATTTGCTTGTAATCGTATCAATATCGATCGAGTGTCTGGAAGTGATGATATCGGAGATCTGTGAACTTATTTTTCAGAAGAAAAAACTTTTCTTTAATACTCTTCATTTTGATTTGTAACCCATGGTTCTATTTTGTTTCTTTAATTAAAATACAGATTGAATCGCCCTGTATATATTATATATAAATATATTGAATAGTGTCTGGAATTGATGTAAGTGTGTATGTAAGTTTCTTTATTTGTAGTATTCGAAGCATGTAGATTAACATGCTCCGATTTGCGATTTCAGGATTTTTCGAAAAAAATTGTCGTTGGTTTTTTATTCATAACTCCTCTACATTTTATATTATAGAATGTTCATTAAGAAACAATTTTTTAGGTTTTTACAATAACCTTTTAAAGCTGCCGGCGCTTTAAACGTCCATTAAGTACACACCTAATTTTTATCGCACAGAAAATTTCCTGTGAGCACAGGGACGTAACTAGGTACCCGCAGCTACAGCGACTGCGGGGGGGCCCCAGAGTTCTGGGGCCCCCAACTAATCTCCTTATTTGAGTATTCTCAACTTCTTTGAGAAAATTGTGATTAGTTTGGTTGATGAATTTGCTGCTACTGTATATTTTAAATTTTTATAATGTATAATATCGTCTTAACCTTTTTTTTTGTTTATTTTAAGGCAAAACTTGTAAAAATTAATAAAAATTCTTCTTAGGCACTGCCTTTTTGTTTAGGGACTTGGAGAGAGGGCCAATAAAAATGTTTGCGGGGGGGCCTCAAAATTATAGTTACGTCGCTGTGTGAGCAAATTGTTTGGAATTAAAAAAAGCTACAAGTTCATACTACCTATAGCATTTTTTATGTTATCTCCAGTTGTTTTGGAGGAGTTTTTCACAAAATTGCATTTTTATCTTTTAGCTTTAATTATTTCTAAATTAAGTATTCTAAACTGGTTACACTGCTAGAATATATTAATATAATACGTACGTAATTAGAGAAAATTGGAAATGGGGAAGAACTAATTACAATTAGGGTGGTAACTAGGGGATTATTTTTGCTGAAAAAAATAGGGATCTATCTTATTTTCAGTTTTGACGTTAATTCACTGCAAAACTCTCGAATTTAGCGTTTGACGTATCAAGATCTAACCTTTAACAATCCATAAAAACTCATATTCTTTGTCTTTTTAAGAGCTATGATTCTGTTTACCAGTTTTTTTTTAAAATAAAATGCATACCTAGTATTTTTAGAGTTTTTCGCACAACAAACTAAAACCATTAATCTTTTCTATAATGACAAACTGATATACCTTCGGCCGCCAATAACTCGAAAAGTATTATAACTTTACAAAAAAATGTATGGAACACTTTTTGCTTAATAGTATAATTATTATGTTATGTTGTATGTTATATTGTTGCCCGAAACGTAGTTGAGGGCAGCAAGCACCCGAGGGATTAGGACGCACTTTAGTCCTGTGGTATATACGCTATTTTTTGTACTCCGGTAATCAGCTACGGTAATTTCAATGTTGAAGTGCAAATTTGAAAGAAAAAATTTCATTGATTGTAGGATCAATACACCTGGTAATGTCAAATTGTGACCATATAACGATAAATGTCAGTTTGATTTAAAGATTCTAGTTTAAAACTACGGCGTACAAATGATCGTTTAAAACTCTGAAGAAAAAGCTTTATAAGGAAACCTACTGCCTTCCAAATTCAAAAAGATATATGGAAAACGATATAATAAGTCTAAAATATGGTGCAAGAATAAATATGTGCAATACAGGTAACCATTAAATTGTGTTTGACAATTCAGTGTGTACTGTCACTTTTAGTCCCGCGTCGCGTTTGAGAAAAAATTGCACTTTAGTCCCTTAAATGAATGACAAAACACGTTGATTTAGTCCACGGTGTACAAAAAATTAATTTTTATATCCATTTCGGTGGTAAAATTATAATTTAAAAAATTCAACCCCAGAGATAGGGTGGCAACCGCCGTCGCCAGGGTGAAACCGCCCTTTGGCATATGATAGGTATAGATTTTTTATTATACCTGAATCACAATATCCGTTTTAAACACTCAAATGCGTGCGAAAAAAAGCCTTTAAAACACACGTGCTTTAAAGTTGCTAAGTAACGATACTTCAAATATGACTTTTGAAACTGTCATCTGGGTGAAATAAAAAATCTTCCTAAGTCGCTTTCTGTAAATGCAGAACATTTCTTTGGCTTGTACCTATCCTTTGGTTGAAGCTTTTACAAACGCGCGTAATTGAGGGTATGCTTCCAAATCTGTTCCACTTTTTAGTCCCAGCAATAAGTGAAGTTTTGAATGAATGCACGAAAAGATAGAAGATTTAAATACCTTTGACATTTCCTTCATATATGCCAGCATTATCGATGCATTTAAGACTTTATTCGTAAGTAACTTCCTATTCATCCATGGAAACAACTTTTCATATGCTTGATAATAGGCTTTACTGGATTGAGATTTTACACCTACCAACGTTTGTGTTTAGATTTTACAACAAGCGATTTAATGGACGGTGTATTATCTTTTTCAACGGAAATCGTTTTATTCACAAAGACGACGATTTTTATCAGCAAACGTCAAGTGACATTTCCATGGCAATCGTGAAATTACGAACACCCAGCCCACTTAATTAGACATGTATTCGAGTATAACGAACGTCAATATGATTTCATTGAATTTCCTATTTTTAAATTATACTGCAGGTATAATAAAAAATACTATAAGATACACGTGTATAATTGGTCTTTAAAGCACTTGCAACGTTAAAGGCACTCCGCTTTGCGTCGTGCCCTTAAACTTGTTGCGCGTGCTTTAAAGACTTGATTATACACTTGTATCTTAATATACTATTTATACTTTGACTTATTCCCTATACCTACTGTCAAAATTTCAAGTTAATCGAATCTTTTTGAAAAAAGTATCAGATCAAAACGTTTATTTCCTCGACTAATTAGGCGAGTGATAAAAAGTGTTATGCATTAACCTCGCACTTGATCTTTTGTTTTCGGATACGTCAAATTATCTTCAGCTGAAACTAAATTCGTCCTCCGCATCATATTTAGACGTTGCCGAATGCCGGGTTTGGTTATTAACTATACACGTCGAGATAAAAATGCTTGAACTCGTGCCATGCGATCTGTAAGTATAGGTCATATTACTTTGTTTTTCAGCATTTAAGTGGTACAATTACCTATGCATTGTTTGAAACTCGATCAAACTTCCAAAGAAATAAAAAAACAGTTCAGTTATTTATAGTGTCGCCTCATTCGGAGGAACATTAGATAATAATTAAAAAAACCTCCTGGTACAGCTAGACCAGTCACATATGACGACGAAGATTGAGATAACTGCCGTACTATGAAGAAGTACAATAATATGGGGGTGACATTTCCAGTTTCATTATTGATTAATTAGATCCTAACAATATGTATATTTTTGTAGGATTTTTGCCAATTTGATGTGCAAAATATCGTACCTATTGCGCCCAATATAGAGTACCTACACCCAAACACTGAAAACACAAAATTAAAATACCCCGTTTTTTGCGATATTTGTGCGAAATATACACACTATGAGATTGACTAAAAAAAAAGACTATCAATTTTCAATTTAAGGGTTGTCTTTTGTTCTATAAAAATTAAACAAGTATAAATTGTGCACAACTCTTGTTACCCGATCACGATAAGAGGTCGAGGACGAGCGCTGGTTGGTAGAAATTAATTCCTTTCGTTGAGACCTTTCATTAGAGTACCATGAAGGATAAAATACACTTCAAATCAGGAGTCCCTTGGCCCTGCGTCATTGATTTGTGAATCAATTTCATACAAGTTTTTTTTCCGCACACTTGATAGTTGTAACAGCGTTTTAGCGTATTATGTGTGAAATTGATCCACAAATCAATGACACAGAGCCAGAGACTCCTGATTTCAAGTGTACCTATACATTATTTCTCTCAAACTTTGAAGGCGCCTGGCAAAGTGTTAGCCCCGCTACTCCTCAGCCAGGTCTGCATTTCTGTGTTTGGGTATTATTGGAGAAGTGGTGGACAAGTTTTCAGCGTGCCTCAAATACATCCCCAAAAATGTCTACCAGCGCTCGGACTACATGTGTATTCGAGAATACTTGAATGGAAAGGTTATAAGAATACGAGGAAAAATAAATTCCTAGTTTGCGAGAAAAAATCCAAATCAAATGTCTCTACAAAGTTCTGAAATTGATACTACCTCAGAGTACCTACTTACTCTTTAAGGATCCTAGCACACGGCTACTATGACTCATGCTCAAATCACATATTTAACTGTATACTGCATTCATTATAAGAAGGTAGTAGATGGCGCTGTGTTTGAAGATAAGCACACACAGGAAAAATATAAAACGGCACCAAATTATTGTAAAGTAGACATATCCAGCACTGCAAACAGAAATAAATCTTTGACATTAACAGTTAATGACACTTCCAACAGTTTAGATGGCAACAGAAACTACCAGCTTGCAAAATTCGCCACACTTTTATGTTTCAGCGTAATACTGACTCGTGTTTTAACCAATCACACTGAAGGTCAAAGCTTCCCTATGCTTTCTACCACTACCTTCTTAAAATGAATACAGTATAGGTAGGTATATCTGTACTCTAATCTAGTATTTATAAAAAGGACGAGAAATTTCATCTAAGCAAAATTTAAATTAAGAGTTAAAAACTGTACAGAGTATATCGAGTATACCGCATTAAACGTAAGTAGGTATATATTTAAATCAACATGGTCAAAAATATCTGATTTTGGATCTTTACGTTTATTGCTGTAACAACATTGAATTTTGATTTTCGGGATGAATTTAATTTTTTGAGTTACCTGTGGCAACTTTGGTCAGCTACGTCTCCATCGGGAAGACGCCACCTCTCCATCTAGGAACGCACTAGGAACGACGCCACCACCAGTGCCGTATTTATATAAGGGGCAAACGTGGGCAATTGCCCACAGCGGCAAAATTGTAAGGGCGGCAAATTTGGAGGAAAACAGAAAAATTAAAATGCGTTCAAATTTTTTAGGTAAACGGTGAATCGGTAAATGAAATGAAGCAAAAATAAAATCTGTTAGTACATTCATTGCATTGCAAATATAGCCAATGAATATGCCTTACTTTTCCCACCTTGTAATAATGGTGATATAGTGATATGTCAAGAGCGGCAAAAAATGTTTGCCCACAGCGGCAGAAACCCTAAATCCGGCACTGACCACCACTATCCACACCAGGAACCGCGCAAAACTGAATTATTTGGAAATAAGTTTATATATTGGAAATAATCTCCGAAGGCCATACCTGGTTTCACCAATTTAAAAAATAACCGCTCTTACGTTATATTCCATAAGGGCGAAGTTCTGAAAAAGAAATTACTCGGGAAAATATTTATCGTTGACCCGCGTAACCTTTAAAATTAGTGAGCAATGACTAAATTTTACCTTGTTTGGCATATTGATATCGACTTATTTGTAATACGATGTATTCGTTGATTGTTCTAAATAAACCCAATTTTCACAACTTTTTTTTACGCTCTACGAAATTTTGGATATTAAAGTTCTATTACTATAATTTAATGGTGTTTAACCCTTTTTAACACCAATGACAACCCTTTATAGGTACATTTAATTCTGACAAAAATAACGAACAGTAGATGTGAACGGGAAGTGTGTGTAAAAAAGTTGAAATTGCCGCTAATTGTATTTTACGGCTATTACAATTTTAAACCTATTCATTTTCTACTATCGTACATGGCATGCATGTGCAATGCAATTGCAATGCAATCCATTTCAATGTTTTTGATCGTGTGTTGGCCGGATTTAACTCCACCAGCGCGCTGAAACACATCACACAACCGTCGATTGCGCACACTTCCGGCCGCCAAAGTGTAGTCTAGCACAAAACACAAAATGAAAATACAAATTACGATGCCTTTCTTTCATGTTGCCATTTTCTTCATTTAAGGTCACTGATTATGTAAATTCACTTTCAATGAAAAGAATAGACAGACTAGACCAGTGACGTTCTCCTATGTAGCTGAGTGTCATACTCACACGGTATGTGTAATAGCACCCCGCAATTCCAAAAAGTGAAAATAATCTATGTAACGTGCAGAAATGAGTTGCTGTCGAGTCGCCTTTGGAAGTTCTCGTGTAAACAAAAATTCCAAAGGTGACTCGACAGCAAGTTTGAACAGTTGTTAAAGTATATACTATGCGATCAAAAATGAGTTACTGTCAAGTCGCCTTTGAAATTTTTGTTTACATCGAAAATCGTATATTTAACTTGAACTTCCAAAGGCGACTCGACAGCAACCCATTAAATTAGTGGCGGTTCAGCCCTTGTCCCACCAAAGCGTCGCGGCAGCGACACGATGTACCGACCATAACCTATGGTTTATATACACCATATACATACCAACGCTAGATTCATCATCTGGTATTTATAGTCAACAACATGTCTGACAGTGAATTCGAAGAGGATTTAGCTATTTGTGTATTAAGAGCGCAAAATGATATATTGTCGATTGAAATCGACAATCAATTTGCGCTCGAATTACACACAAGATTGTTTCTACAATCGAGCATTTCGCATATTTCGAAAAATTTTAATTTTTCACATATTTGATTTATAGTTAACAATTGGGAGAGCTTGCCGAGCCTTGTTTTTATTAAGTCGCTTATAAAGTGACATTCCTCGAAAAAGATGACGTTTGCGTTGTCAGAGCGCAAATGTCTACTTTGGATATCGATTGTAGAAAAAAACATTTCCTGAAAGGTAAAAATACGATCTTTTATAAGATCAGTGCTATGATTACCATATTATGCATTTCCGTCACTATCCATTATTTACTGTCACCTGTCACCTATTACAAAATAGGTACCCAATTTTCTTGGAAAACTACACAACCATCTCCTGAAGATTCCTAGAGAAGAAACCATACTTATGGGAATACTTCCAGAAAAGTACCACGAGATGATGCATTTACATTGCAGGTAGACCTAGACTTAATGAAACCTTTTAGACAGACAGATAAACATCTAAAAAACAATTTTTCTCTTTTCCGTCATTTTAAATCGCAATATAACTAATAGCAGGCGCCAAAGCCAGATCTACCACAGCTCTAGAAGAATCCATACAGTCGACTGCAGGTGAGGGGCGAAAAAATAGACGACTCAAATTACTAAAAACTAGTAAGTTATTAACCTTCATTTTACTTTTGTGTGTACGTAGAATTGTACTTACACCATCAATATTTCAGTTCTAATCTCCAATGAACTCAGCTATTGATGACTATCAACCTGACATATACTAAAGTGTAACAAACCTGGTACTGCTGTCATTGTGTATGTAACCGTCTTATAACTAATCGAGCATGTTTTCAGATATAGCACGATGAAAATATTAGAACAAAAATACCATTCTTACATTTAAAATTTAATACAACCAAAATTACAAGTTTATAAAGTTTTGCCTGATTGACACAAAAATGCCGAGCTATTTCTAATTGCTTGCAGTTGAAATTAGTACCTTTTTACTGTGTAACACTGAGAATATAAACATTTTTCTTAAATAGTAAAATACGAAATACTAAAGACTTTTAAAATCAAAGTTTGCACTTTTTACCCTTACGAGTTATATTAATATACGGTTGTACTAAGGGATACATTCCATGACTACTTTTAAATATTGTAACATCTTGTATAACAGTTTGGGTTGGCTCCTTTACATCTATTTCTTTTAATGTGCCAGCACCTCCTTCTGCTTTAGATAGCACATGAACAGCGAGCTTCTTCCGTTCTTGAGCACCATTTTTTAACAGCGTCTGAAGGAATTAAATTCATCTTTCCTTCAAACGAAATCGACTTACCTCATAAAAGTTAATGAGATCTTCTTTTGTTACTGTTCGCAAGTAAGCCACTTCAACTTCGGCTCTCGCAAAATGATACTGTTGTGCAGTAATCTCTGACCAATAGAGGGCAGTTTGAGCAGTCAGTTGTTTGGGTTTTTCTAAACGATGGGCAGCTAATGCGTCCTTGTGTCGCATAAACTCTTCATTTTTCATGTTTTGTAAATGTTCCTATGGAAAGTTAAAAATTCAATCCAGCATGTAACTTTTAATGAAACCACTTACAAGCATGCCATGTAGAAATTCTTCTATTCGACCATCAACAATTGATGGATGCTTATCAGACTGCACAATAACACGTAAACCTTGGACACCATTAGCTTTTCTAATACCGCTGAATACTATGTAACCTAATTGTTCCTAAAATATAAAACAATTAATTATTGCGATAAGATTGAAGATTATTTACTTTTGTGCGTAACACATCAAAACAGGGTTCTTGAATGATTTGACCGAATAATTCCAGAAGAATATTACTTTCTGTATTTTGTAAGCCACATTGGTAGTAAACTTCCACACACGAGGACTTATGTATGTCATTGTCGACGCTATATAAATAATCACAGCTATCCTCCAGCTGAAGCTCACGATTTAACAGCAATTGTCGCGGTAGAAGCGGCGTTGTATTAATAAGTTCTGCAAAACGATTCTCAACAATGTTAACCATTTCCAATGCTTTCTTTCTATTCGCATTGCCATGCACCAAACATTCGATGTGCATTTTTGAAAGCATCTGTGGTATAAACTCTTCCAATTTCTCTATTGTAAGCTCTACAACAAACACACTATCATAACTCTTCATTATTAAGGGAATTAACCTTCTGTTGCCGCGAGCAACTCTCGTTTTGTCCATGAATGCTCGGTCAACAATACTGTTAAATAATACACTGCATGTTGGTAGGGTTGCTCTGCAGCAAAATTTTTAAGTGTTCTTATATACTAAAAGAATCGATTACAAAGTGCATAAAGAAATGAAAACCTACATTTTCCTTAAATATTTCAAACCGCTTAGGATCAACCTTAAAATTCGTTAATTTTTCTATGATTTTACCTAGTAGTATGTGCTGTTTTTCGTTGTAACCACCTAGAACTAGCTAAAAATAGAATTCAAAATGTGACCCTAGATTTTCGATGCTACTTACAATAAGGCCGTACTTCGTATTCGACAATTCCCATTTCAAGCCGGCAAGCTCAGCTGCATATACGTATTCACTGAGGGCGTCTCGAAATAGTTGCACAAACATATGAGTTAGATTACAATTTAATGGATCTAAGTAGGCCAAAGGGCTGAAAATATAAATTATTTACTTTAGCTTTTAGAAAGTCAGACCACATTACAGTTATTCTAAATTTTATACACATGAAACTCTCTGGGTGCTGTAGATGTGAGAAAATTGGCCGTCTGTCTGCAATAGCTATTTTTCCCGTTGGGGAAAACGCACTGCAATAGCTATTTTTCCCGTTGGGGAAAACGCACCATTCAGAAACCCGTATTTTGGAACTTTTAGGGACAGTTCATAGCTCCCAAATAAAACATTTTCTATACTTGGTTTGTTTTCAAAGAACAACCTATCACCAAAATTTTCTTGGAAATACTTCATTGCTCATGAATTTGAATTGAAAATTATATGATTTCTGATAGTAATGGTACTACGGTATTTAAGGGCTACATCTTTTTTTTATTTAAATACAGTTTATGCTTGCGTCCATCCGTCCGAGAGATCCCAACACACATTTGCGTTTTTTTTTAATTTAATATGGTTAAACACGTAGGGTAGGCGAAAAAGAATGTCGGATAAGTTTCCGTTTCGGCGCAAGCGCACCCGAACTTTGTTATTTACTAAGATATTCAACGAAATTGTAACTACAAGGACTCCTCATAAAAATGAATCGAATGTGTATACTATGAAATGGATTTTCGGGTCTGAAGAACTAACTGGTGAAAAATTATTACTTTATATTTTGTTTTGGAAATGCTTATCCAAAATCTAGATGATAGACGTCAACTTGAAAGAAACAAAACAATAGAGGGCAATTAAAAGGGCAGTGAACACCGAAATTATATCATCCAATCTTGTTGGATCCGTTAGTTGTGTCAGCGTATCAGTCTAATGACTTTACTAGACTGTTGAAAAGTTTTGAAAGAGATGTGGCTCTACCTCAATTGTCCGGGCGTACTTACTTGAAAGTTCTGTATTCTATAGAACCTGCACTGTACAGAGAGAGATCCTTATGAAAATCCCAAATTCATATTTTCAATGTAGATCCCACATAAAATTAGCTAGCACTATACTCACCTTACAAAATCAAACATAATGTTAGCCTTTGGTAGTAAGTACTTATCATCTTGTTTAAACCAAATTCTTGTTAAAGCAGTGTCTTGAATTATTACGGGATGATCGTTTAACTAAAATAACAATTTCAAAGGTGTTTGCTAAGAGCTAAAAGCGTTACCTCTTTATCAAACGGATATAAATCAAAGTTAGTAGCAACAAAATCATTTTTATCCGGAATACGTAATTCCGGACATTCTCCACAATTCTTCCAGTCCTAAAAACATTTTTTTTATTATGTGGAAAATGATCAGACCTTGCCAAATTAATTTGAGATGGAAACAACAACTTAAAATATCAATTTTGGATCAGTATAGTTTTCCTTACTTCTAACACTTCTGTTGGTATGTTTTGCAGTTTGTACTCAGTACCATACCACGGCTCCTTTAAATTAACCTCGTTTGCAAATTGTTTCGCAATTACGCCTACTCTATTAAAAAAATCTAGAATTAAGGAGAAATAACTTGACTATGGAACCCTCACCTTACATTCTCTGGAGTAAAATCACTTAAGATTTTGTTTACCATATCCGGATTCCATTCCGATAGCAAATAGTGAGAGGATAAAACTTCTTCTAAAGGATATTCCTACAAGATTACAATAAATGGCTGTAAATCACCACAGATAACTTACATGTAAGTAATGTACATGGCCAGCAATGTACGATCGTGGAGACTCTTTGTCTTTAAACCTAAAAATCATTGACGATATACGCTTTTGCTCTTCCTGTATCCATTGGAGGGGGCCATTGACTTTGAGCATTTCCAAGTACTAAGTTTTCAAAGAGTCAATTAACAATCAACAGCTACAGCTAAACTTACTTGGAACACTAATTTCACAATGTCATTAATATGAAACATGCCCTCTTCCGTTAGGTCAACAGAAATACCAAAAAATCCAATACCTCTTGGTGCCGTTCTACTTCCAGCCACCAAACTATTGGACCAGCCTCTTGCTTTAAGTGCAGATAATAAGCTACCTGGACCCTCATGACCTACCAAATGGCTTATATAATTACCGGGCTAAAAAGAACAAATCATATAAATTACTGTAGAGCAAGACACCTGTCTCCGCCTGAATGGAAATACAATATTCAAAGTGCGAACGAACCCACAAATACAAAATTGAATAAAAACCAATTTTTCTCAATCTACGTGGGTTCGTGTCTTTCATTTCGTACACATCATAGTAGGCCTAAATCAAATTACCTACTCAGGTTTTACCCTTGTTCAACAATCAACATTTTTTACTTAAAATTTACATTAATAATGAATTACACTTTAATATACAGGGTGATTCCTATAGTATACTGCCACCGTTTGGGAGCGTATAGGGGGTGCCTAGGGGAAGTCTTTTCATATAGGACACTTGGGGTCGGAAATCCAAAATAAGGGCGCCAGAACCAAATTTATCTTCTGGAATTTCACGCCTGTATGTAGGCAACCCAACCGACCGACGTTTCGCGCGGAGCGATGCAGAGCGAGTTAGCGCGAGGAAGCGACATGGGAGGGAAGGAGGGAAAACGACAGTCAAAAGCAATAACGTTTACAAGTGTTCAACGTGGCCACCGTTGTTCTCAATGCACTTCCTACATCTAGCCAACCACTCCCCTCGAACTCGCGTGAAGACTCCTATGTCCCACAAGTAAAAATCTAATGGGGTGATGTCGGGCGAGCGGGCGGCCACTCCACCGCACCTCCACGGCCGATCCGGATAGGTTTGGTCCAAGTGTTCCCTCACCTGCCGCGCGTAGTGAGCAGGGCACCCATCGTGCTGGAACCAGTGGTCCCAGTACAAGTTCACTGGAACATCCATTAAAAGTTCTGGTAGCACCTCGCGCAGGAAAATCAGGTAATTATGGGCATTTAGACGCGGAGGGAGGATGTAAGGCCCCAGTAGGTTGTCCCCCAGGATGCCAGCCCAAACGTTTAAAGAAAACTTGTCCTGGTATCCTCGCGTAAACGTTTCATGAGGATTGTGCTCCGCCCAGTAGTGGCTGTTACGAGGATTGAAGGTCCCCTCTCTTGAGAATCCTTTCTCGTCAGTAACTAGCACGCTCCTCAGAAAGTTCGGATTAGCTTCTTCCTCCTGGACGACTAAGTTGCAGAATTCCAGCCTCCTTTCATGGTCACCCGGCCGTAACTCTTGCACTTTCTTAAACTTATAGGGGTGTAAGTTGTTGTTGTTGGCGATGTTCCACACTGTGTGTTGACTACAACCCACCTGATCTGCTACAAGTCGAGTGCTAGTACGCGGGTTTGCCTCGAAACGTTCCAACACATCCTCCTCTAAGGCATTTACCAACGGGCGATCGCGATCACGGGCGCTAGTGGGCTGCGAAATAGGAGGAGGTCGGTGTAAACAAACAAACTTTTCGAAATGGGTGCTTAAATGACCCAAGTATCGATGTGCATCACGAATCTGTGTGTAAAGTTAAGCCTCCGTCAGCTTACCTGCAATTGCCCTGTCTCGCACAGTCGGAAGTGAACTTCTTGAAAGACCTGTCTGCAGGGTAACTGACGGTTTGGATACCGCTCAGCGTACGCTCGTCGTGCAGCTCGTGCGTTACCATTTGCCAATCCGTACATGAAGTGCATGTCCGCGTATTCCGTGTTAGTAAAACGTGCCATAGTGTTTATTCACTTGATACGCGTCGTTGCAGACGGGATTTCGTGGGTTTAAACAAAATTCTGATCAAGTGTCAGCCACACATCGCCGCCTGAGATCGCTCCGTGTGCACCGCCGGCCGGTTGGGTTGCCTACCTACAGGCGCGAAATTCCAGAAGGTAAATTTGGCTCTGGCACCCTTATTTTAGATTTCCGACCCCAAGTGTCCTATATCAAAATACTCCCCTACGCACCACCTACACGCTCCCAAACGGTGGCAGGTACTATAGGAATCACCCTGTATGTTTCATTGATGATGATTATGATAACATTGTTGAAAAGAGCGCAAAATAAGCGTCATTACACATTCAGTGCCAAGGCCAATATTATTGTGATTAAAAAAATTTAAATCTTATTTTTTTGTGAAAGGATAAATGGCAACTAATTGTTCTCTGGATAATGAGATTCGCATTTCCGCATATAAATATTGTTTATAGATTTAATAGTCAAAATATTGTTTTTTGAAACATTCGTAAATTGTACTTCAAAAAATAGCACTTTTCTCTAATTTAACCCATTTAACACTAATGATAGGGAGAGCCTCAGAAACAATAAAGTAATACGGCAAAACTTACAGCATTGGAACCACACAAAGGAAGAATTTGTGTGTGTGATTGAGGTCTAAAGCGTCAGAATGACGAAAAGGGAAAAAGGTTCATTACAGAGACTAGAAATAAAGTTCATTGGCTACAATCATTGCTTTTCCTCAAAAACTGAATTTTCCCTTTTTTGGCGCTTTCTCATTTACTGAGAAAAGAACTTCTTTGACCAGCTGTTCCAATGGGGTATCCGTACTGAAATGACACTAAAATTAGGGACCAATTATTATTCCCCCCTTCCGCCCTTACGTTACACCACTGTACACACATACACAAAATTTAATATATTCTATGGTAATGGTAAATCACATTTTGACTATTTTGAGGTTAGAAAGGAGAATTTAACTAAAAGAGCTACAAAAAATGCTTGTTGATGATTACAATCACGTCGATTCGAAAATCTTCTACATACCTGAGAATATTCCAAGTGCAAACACCCACGACGCCTTTGAGGAGCAGTTTAGTGAAGGTTGCGTATGCAAGACCATATGCACAATTGAAAATCAATGTTTCTGCATTCTGAGAAGCGGTGCCCATTACAAAACCGATACCGAACATCTTCACGATGCTACAATTATATGCTCCGACACCGCAAAACCAGTATACGAATGTAACAAGAACTGTAAATGTACACAATTTTGCAACCACAAACTTGTACAATTTGGTCCACGTGCTGACTTAGAAATAAAGTTATGCGACACAGTGAATGGCCAATGTAAAGGTTTGGGTTTAATCACATTAAAACGCATTAAAAAGGGCAGTTTTGTTTGTGAGTACGCAGGTGAAATTATAAATGAAACCGACGCAATGAGGAGACATGACCAAAACGAGAAATCTAAAAGGATGAATTACATTTTTGGTGTCATTGAGCATTTTGGAAGAGTATGTATGAAGATGTTCATTGATCCTTCCACTTTTGGTAATATAGGCAGGTATATAAACCACAGTTGTGATCCAAACTCTGAGCTCTTGACTGTTCGGGTCAATACTGTTATTCCGAAATTGTGTATTTTTGCAAAGGATGACATTCAGGCTGGTGCAGAAATTACATTCGATTATGGAAGGGACAGCAATCAAAATGAAGATGGGAAAATGGCAAGAGTTAAGTGCTTATGTGGAAGTAAAAATTGCAGACAATATATCCCTCTTTGTAATTATAATTAAAGTTCAGATTTCACAGTGTTTTTATACATTTATAGTATAGCAGAGTATAGAATTTTCAAGCAATGTTGGCACTGTTAATGAAACAAATATTCATTGTCAATCCATAAGGACAAGCCAATAGAATAGTATTTAATAAGAAAAGTTCCATGTTTAGCGCATCTGCGATACTATATGGGCCTTAAGTGTGCTAAGGTCATTTAGTATTACCCAAAGATACAGGGGGCAGCGGAACAGATCTACAGTTGGAATTATTGGGATATTTTTCTAAATTAATTGTCTTTATCATTCTTGCCTGGAAAACTTATCTTGCAAAGTGCTCTGGTGCTGTGCTTACGTGATTTGTTAATATTTGATGTTACCAAACAGGTTTTTCAATTTATTGGAAAACCCTACATTTTCAAGGAAAATACTTGGAACAAGGACTTTTTATAAACTTTTTCTCGAAAAATGAAAAACTATAGGTATAGTGAACCACACCTCTCGGGATATACTGTATTAATAAATCCACAAACTTGTGAGAAATACTTTAAATTCTTTACTATTTCTTTTTCCAGGAAATCCCAAACCATAATAAAATTCAAACTTACGGCTGATTTATAGTAAGGATGTAAGTCAACCGATGGAAACACTATGTTCAAATTTCGTACGTCCTTTATAGGAACTATGTAAGCACAAGTCCTAAACTGATCAGGTGTAAACGGATGTTCGGGCCACTTTGGCGCTTCCGCATTTTTATCCTTAACTGGAGAAAAAAGGCCTACCACAATTTCTTCCAATTCATCCAAACTCTCTGAAAAGAAAGTACTTAATTATAGAATCAGAATGTATTACTCCGCTTACCTTTGCCGAGAATGGCCAAAGCCATAATGTTGGAGGAATACCATAACTCGTGAAATTTCAACAGCTCAGTGCGCACATTTATCCCTTTCTCCTTTGGAATGTGACAAAGCGTATCTTTATTTCCTACAAAAGGTGGCCTTTATTTTTGAACATTTCTAATAAAGTGTTCCCCACCTGTTCCAAACTTATGGAATGGGTGATTGGGATTACAAGTCGACTTATCCAATTGATCCAGCCTCCATAAGTCGCTTGGAATATTTTTCTCGTGTTCGGAATTCACAGCATTTAATTCACGTTCAGTAGCGGTTTCGGTGAAAAGAGGTGCAATGAAAAATTGAGAAAATCTATCTAAAGCACCTTTCAAATGTTCGGGAACAATGTCAAAGTAATAAACGGTATGATCCGGATATGTGGCAGCATTACTTCCACCTCCATGCTCACTTAAAAATTTGCTGTAGTCATTCTCGTTTGGATACTTCTCGGTGCCCAGAAACAGCATGTGCTCACAAAAATGAGCAAGACCAGGTAAGTAATCTGGATCGCTCAGATAACCTAGAAATCTTCTTCTGCTGTTTAAATTACAAAACAAAACTCCACTTACCAACGTTAACGTCCAACGCTGCTGCTGATTTATCGGTGGTATGATCACTCACAAGTAATACTTTCATACGGTTTGATAACTCCAACCCCCTGTATAACCGTTTGTCTTCTGCGGACTTGGTGATGTTATCGTAACGTTTTAACACTGATGCTGAGGTAGTCATGGTTTTAATATCCTTTCGTGCTAAATAATGGGATCTACAGATTATAAAAAGATCAGTAATTTAGAATAGTACACATTGAAACCTAACCTAACTAAGTCTCTCCCTTGCTGTGATAGGGATTGATTTGTACTTAATGGTAATTTAAAAATGAGACGTCTGCACCTTATAAAATACATTCAAGTACAAACAGAGAAATGAACGAAAAAATGTCAAAAACGTGTTTACACGTAATAAGATTATAAGTTGGATAATTAATAAGAGTAAGACACTCCACTCGTGCTGTGGTTAGTGCGAAACGGAACGGAGGTGCTCATAGTGCAATTACCTTTTATTTTCAATTAAAATGTAACCGTAATAAGCTGCTGGAGGAAAGCACATGAAAAGACCAAATCTCAATATTTTTTTCATGTTTATTTATGCGACATTTCGGTTTCAGTATCAACCCTCAAACTACGGCGACCCGGCGACCGGTTTACGTTAGCTTTTGGTGAAACGCCCTTGCGCTTGGTTATTTATGACTTATGAGTAAAATGTAGGTAGTCTCATTCACTGTTTATATAAATAATATCGAATCGACGGTATATTATGTTGATGCGTAAATTAAAAAAAAGGTATCGCCCGAGCAGGGACTTGAACCCTGGACCCTTGGATTAAAAGTCCAATGCTCTACCGACTGAGCTACCCGGGCTCGCTTGAAACTGTGTGTATGTTATGAGCAGAAAAAACGAAAAGTTTTAAAATGAGTAAAGGGGAGGAACATTGGTATTGAAAATGATTAAAGAGCGAGATTTATTTAAACTAATAACACCGGTCAACAAAAAATAAATTTTTTTGCGAAATATATTCTGACTATAATAAGCAAAAATAACTAAAAAGTGCGATTGGATATCGAAAATACTTACTTATTTGCTTTTACAAAAGTTATAGCGATTGGATTGAAAGCTTTCAGGAGCGAAAATTAAAGCTGGAATCTTTGTTTTCCCTCAAATAAAAAGAAATATGGAGTGTGATATTTTCCCGCGGTTAGTGTACCTACTTACCAAAGGGGAGAAAAAATCCTGGAACAGTCCATCGCTCCATGGTTTCCCGTTTAGTGTTTCCATAGAGCTGAAAATTATGACAAGCTGACAGGATTTGGTTTTGCATCATCGGGTATAGAATGTCTCTAAAGATACACAGGTTACGGATAATATGGAAGCTTATTCGTAGGAACAAGACATTCATCAAGACATAATGGAATTTGGGCACGTTACCAAAGCCATCAGTAAGGTGGAAAGTGATGAAAAGATCATATTTGGGGGGTTGATAAGAAAACCTTCTGTTGAACATGCCAGAAAAAGCAAAACTGTTCCATTTTTAAACATTTAGACTCACTTTTAATTCGCGACTTTTTGTTTAATTTCCATTAGGTACGCGTGTGGAAAAACGAACTGCCTTTTTCCTTACTAGACCATAAAACGGGTCAGCTATCAAATACCTCCATCAGAAGTCACCTATCTGAAGCAGCATAATTAAGTTCATCCTCCACTCCACTAACTGCACAACTCTTCATCTCGGAACCGGAAGGAGTCAATTACAAACCAGGAGCTGGTTCTTATTGAATTTTTAATTGTCATTTTTTAATTGTTTCCTGTCAATGGGTTTTTATACACGGTGGTGACTTGCCTAACGCATCATAGGGATTTCAATGTAAAATTCATAACATGCGATTATTGGGTCCTCAAATTATTTTAGAGCAAAAATGTATTAAGGTTTTTCGTAGAAAAAATTTTTTACGTCAATCAATAGTATTAGTTTTCAATTTTTTGCATAATAAAGACGGAAAATTGGAAAAATAAAACCCCCATGTTTTTCAATAAGCTGTGATGCCATGGAATTTTATAATACAAAAACTACGCCAATATCCGTCATGCCATGGAATGTCTGCTATAAAACAAATCAAATTCTATCAAAAAGTATTATATTTAATTTAGAACAGCGAATTCAACATAAAGAAAGACCAAATTACGAGCCAAATTACTAAAAAAACGGTTTCCTAATATAACCATTTACAATAGGTAAATGTTCGAATAAGCCACCATTAACTGCAATACAGTAACCAAGTCGATCATAAAATCAATTTCGAACTGCTGCTAATTGATAACTGGATATCTTTTTGTTCTAGAAAATTCCATGGCAACGCAGATAATTGAAAAATATGCGAGTTTTATTTATCCAATTTTCCGTCTTTATATGAAAAAAATTGAAAATGGTGGAGTCGACACTTCAAATGCGAATTGCGACTGAACGGGGCGTCGGAAGGGGGTACCGACAAACGGAATGTGGTTACCCCCGATAAGATTCGACTGCATGATGGCGGAGTCAAAACTTCAAAAGCGAATTGCGGGTAGACGGGATGTCGGAAGCGGGTACCGGCAAATGTAATGTGGTTACCCCCGACAAGATCTTACTGATGGTAGAGTCAAAACTTCACACACGAATTGCTGGTGAACAGGATGTCTGAAGTGAGTACTTACAAAGGGAATGGATTGTCTCCGACAAGATCTTACTGATGGTGGAGTCAACATTTCAAAAGCGAATGGCGGGTGAACGGGAGGTAGGAAGTGGGTACCCACAAAGAAAATGCGGACAAGATCTTATGGATGGTGAAATCAAAACTGGCTAATATAGAATACTGATCTGTGACACAAAAATGCGCTGAAGTCCCACATTTCACATATGTTTTAGGGTCGAATTAAAATTCACAACAAACCTTTAATTCATTACCCGGAAATCCCCCCCCCCTCCCCCAAGATATAAAACCACACCTAGTACATATAAGTAGTATCAGATCAATGACTAAAAGGTATACTTAAGCAAATCAGAAAGTGGATTTTGTGTGGATATGGGGAGTAGGAGTGGGGTCAGGGGTTAAAACTCTCTGGGTTATTAATTTAATTTGCCCGTTTTGCACATGGCAGGAGGCTAGATAGTTCAGTCATATATAAACTGTAAATGACGTAACTGATTAGCAACACTCGAAAGGATACCTAATAGGCAACTGACACTGAAAGGGCTCAGATTATACTCATGAGTACCACAAAAACATTATTTCGCTCATAAATTAAATGTGCTCATGGGCGAACTGCACAACGCCAACTTTTATGTTTATGGAGATATTTCTTTGACATTTTAACCATATATCCCTCTAAAGAAAATCACAGCGCACATAGCTATGGCCTTTTGGGGAGTACCTACTGATCACTCATGGAAAATGCGCTGAAGTTACTCGCTTTAGGGCGAAAACCTTTTTACTTGTTGAAATTTGAGTCGTTTTTTCGGTTATTTTTCCGTTGAAGCAAGCTACTCGTAGGTACCTTACACCCGTTGTGGGAGGTCCGATGCTTCTGGAGAAACCAATTCATACGTTAATACATAACACTTACTGTTTAGTTTAATACCATTTAATTTGGTTTCTATTAGGTTAGCGGTTAAGATATTAGTATATTTAGTTATTGTGCTTTCTTAGATTAGTAATTGTCCTATAATTGGAATTTGATTCTGTTGGGCAATAAATCATATTATTATTATATTATTATTATTATTGTCGGTGTTTCTTGTGAGAACTCAGGTCTAGCCTGGTTAACTAATCGCACGGATTAAAATCAAGTAACAGTGTCTGTGTCTGTGTCTGGTGAAGTTATGTAGGGTGCTAAAGAAAAATAAAAAATAAAATAAATATTCGCACACTCACATTGGAAATCTAGGGATAGTATGTAATTCATACTTACCAACATAGCTATTAATGGCCACAATAGTCAACGCTATCAGGAAAGAAGAAAACAAAACAAAAATATCATTATAATAATTCCTGTACTTTTATTAAATAGAGTTTATTGTGTAAGTGTTTCTTTGACTGCGTTTGGGTTGTATACGAGTGGGTTGTGATAACGTGGTGTGTTTATGTGAATAAGGAGTTTTGTGTTTTTTAACTGTGCTAGGACGTGTAACTTTATTGGGTGGACCTGTCTTTGTAGTGTAAGTTGCGTTACTTGTATTTATGGTGTTTCTTTGTTCTAAAGGTTGTATTTGTGTTGTTGCTTGGGTTATTGATGGAGATATTACAGTATTTTGTGAGCTAGTGGTGCTGTTTAGGTTTTTGCGTTTGGGTTGAATACGAGTGGGTTGTGATAATGTGGTGTGTTTCTGTGAAGAAGGAGTTTTGTGTTTTTTAACTGTGCTAGGACGTGTAACTTTATTGGGTGGACCTGTCTTTGTAGTGCATGTTGCGTTACTTGTATTTATGGTGATTCTTTGTTCTTGAGGGTGTATTTGTGTGGTTGCTTGGGTTTTTGTGTGGAGATATTGCAGTATTTTGTGAGCCTGTGGTGCTGTTAAGGTTTTTGCGCTTCGGTTGTATACGAGTGGGTTGTTTCTGACAAGAAGGAGTATTGGGTTTTTTACTGTGCTAGGAAGTTACACGGTGCCAATTCAAATTGGTAGTCAGCTACCTTGGTCTTCCATTGGGACCGTGAAGTCAATAACAGAGTTGTGCTAATTTGTTGCCTAGGATTAAATTCTGGGATGTCGGCCGAAGTTAAGATTAGTTCTGACGATTACTATTACTATCGTATTTTGTACAATTAATTAAACATTAGGTTTTAACAAATATAGGAACATTTTTCTTTTAAACAAGGACACTGATAACGTTTTAAACTCAGGTGGTATGTTATTGTAAATTTTATAAATTTGATAGATACTGAAAGGTTCTTTCAAATAAAGCAGTGGAGTGTTTAGGAGGAGAAATTAAACCACAAAATCTTAAATTTAAATTGTGAACGTCCGTTCGAAAGCGGATTTTGTTATAAAGATACACTGGTTGCTTATTTAAAAGCACCTTATGGCATAGTGTTGCAAATAGTAGTTTTCTCCTGTTATTCATGTCTAGCCAGTTCACCACTTGTAATAAGAAAAAATTTCTTTTTAGGTGCCTACGGCATCAAAATACCTAGCATTTAGCAAATTGTTAATAATTCTAGGTACATTATTTAGTGGATGACTGAAGTGAACATTTTGAATGCCTGGAGTTGAAGTCTCTATATAATACGTTATATATATACTCTTTGGTATAGGTAATTACTTATTTCCATAGTGACCAGTAGAAAATAGATTTTCACAGATCAAGTCACTTTCTTAATCTTTTATAATATCAGGGTCTCGCAGAGTTATCCAAGGAAAAAGTTCAAGGCGCGAAAGTATTGCAAAGAAAAATGATTTACGTCTCCAAATTGCATAAAGCAAGATTGATTTATTT